GTCTCCCTGTAGCCCCAGCTGGCCTGGAACTCACTATGTAGACCAGGCTGGCCTTGAACTCACAGAGATCCGCCTGCCTCTGCCACCCAGTGCTGGGATTAAAGGCGTGCACCACCACACCCGGCTAAAAAAATTTTTTTAAATATTTTTTCCCAAATGTGCTAAAATCCACACAAACATTAAAGGAGTACGTCTCCTTTGTAATTTCTAGAACACTCAAAACTGTAAAAATAAAATAAAATAAATAAATAAATAAATAAATAAATAAATAAATAAGCTCTTATCCCCTTGGAAGTGTTGGTAGAGGCTTGCCTTCAGAGGCCCTGGCTCTCTGCTCTTCCCTTAGCTGGCAGACCTGGAGGTGGTGCCAGTTTACACCATTTAATTTTGACAGAGAATCTTGTGTGTGAGGCTTTCAGACATGTAGAGGACGGCAGGTAATACATTCATACACATAAGATAAAAATAATAAAATATTTTTTGAAAAGTTAACATTGAGGGGCTAGAGAGACGGCTCAGTGGTTAAGAGCACTGACTGCTCTTGCAGAGGAGCCAGGTTCGATTCCCAGCAGCCACATGGAGGCTACTAACCATCCTTAACTCCAGTTCCAGGGGAATCCAAAGCCCTCTTCTGACCTCTGTGGCATTGCACAACACGGGAGCACTCACATATATGTAGGTAATACACTCTTACACATTAAAAAAAAAAGTTAAAATTGAAGAAAAATTCCTATTTTTCTGAAAAGAGCTAAGATAAAATTATTTCTTGGCAGCATTCCTCCCTTGAGAGGAATGCTCTCTTATTCTCAAGCATTCTTTCTCACTTTTCCTTAATAAATCAACATTCACTCTACATCCTCCCCCCCAAAAAATGTGTTCTAGACAGAAAATTTAATATACTATAGGTAGCATAACAATGAACTTATACTTTATTAAACATAAATAGGAATTTTGAAAATAAATTTATTTTTATTTTAAATTTATATGTATGATGTGTTTGTGTGGGAGTATGTGCACAAGAATGTAGATGCCTACAGAGGACACAAGCATCGAATGGCCCTGGAACTGGAGTTATAGGTTGTTGTGAGCTGCCCAGTATAGGAACTGGGAATTCACCTTAGGTCCTCTGTAAGGTAATACGTGCTCTTCAACACTGAGCCAGCTCTCCAGTCCCAATAAAAGTGAATTCTTGATTGAGTATTCATCAAAACCATGAAAAAAAAAAAATTGAAGAAAACTTACCTTCATTAGAACCATCTTTCTCAATAATGAGATTCCGGTACGTGCACTGATATTCATCATTAGCTTTCTCAACAAAAGCCTAATTGCAAATAAGATTAAACCCAGAAAAATAATGAGGGAATAGGCTACTGTTCAAACCCTATTTATCAATTACCAATAACACTGACTATATTTTAAACATATTATCTTGAAAATGGAAAACAATTTTGAATAAGCATGCTCAATTACTTCAAAGCTTAATTTTTCCATTTCATATTTACTTTGTTCTAAATGATTTTTAAATTTAACATAATGAAACTTTTCTTTTTTACTTTAAAACTCAGGCTAAGAAATGGCTTTCTAGAGTTTTAGTAGTCTAAGAGAATATTGAGGTGAAAATAGAAGACAAAGGATCTTACATTAGTGAATAATGTTCGCTTTGACGTTACATGAATAAGATGCAAATTGCCACTTCTCTCCCCAACCAAAAGAAATTTTCCTTCTTGACAAAGGCCAACTACATCCACTTCGGTATCTGAAAATTTCAAAATCAAAGTTTTAAGCTTCCTTCAAAAATGCTTATTTTCATTTTAAAAATGTAAATTTTATCAGGGCTGGAGAGATGGCTCAGTGGTTAAGAACACTGACGGCTCTTGCAGATAACCCGGGTTCGATTCCCAGCACTCACATGGCAGCTACGAACTGTCCTTAACTCTACCTCCAGGGGAATCCAAAGCCCTCTTCTGACATCCACAGTATTGCACGACACAGGTGCACTGACATACATACAGATAACACACTCATAAAATAAAAATAATAAATAAAATTTTTTTTAAAACGTAAATTTTATCACCAAAAAGTCAATGATTTAAACTGATTTTTTGCCAGGTATGGTGGCGCATGTCTATAATCCCAACACATGAGAGATGGAGACAGGAAGGTCACAAGTTTGAGGCTAGCTTGGGCTACATCATGGGTTCAAGGTGAGCATAGGCTATATATTGAACTCATGCCTCACAAAAGCAAAGCAGAGCAAAGCAAAATCAACCAAACACACAAAAACAACAGTGAGGGCACCAATACTGGCCCATCTCCTATTTTCACTTAATTTCAGCATAATCACTGACTCATCACTTAAGCCTTTTTTTTTTTTTAATGTGTATCCCTGTATTGCCTGCATGTAGGTAAGTACACCTGTGTCATGCAATGCCCGTGGAGGTCAGAAGAGGCTGTCAGATCCCCTGGGACTGGAGTTAAGGACAGTTGTTAGCTGCCATGTGGGTGCTGGGATTCAAACCCAGGTCTTCTGCAAGAACAACCAGTGTTCTTAACCACTGAGCCATCTCTCCAGCCCCTTAAGTCTTTTTTTAAAAAATAGGGCCTTATTATATAGTCTAGGCTGACTTTAGAACTTGATGTCTAGTCCAGGATAGCCTCTAACTCACATTTCTTTTGCCTCAGCATCCAAAGTTCTGAGATTACAAGTTCACACCACTACTCAATTTATGTTCATAGGCACTTAAAGCCCTTTAAATCAAATAATTAATTCACATGTATTCTGAAGATTTTTTTTTATAGTGTGATAGATCCTAAAAGTATTCAAATACCTGCTGGCAATGAAAACATAAAGATTTAGGAACTTAAACACAACTCGGCTCAAACATACGATTCAAATATAAAACCAGAAACAAACAAACAAAAAAAAAAGCAAGAAAACTAAATCATTGCTTACACATATGTTTCCCTTTAAACATACTGAGGCAAGGTATGTCAGCACCTTTTAAGCCTAGAGCCCAACAAAAAGATACTCAAGATTTTCTTGACATTCAGCTAATTTTGAGACTTATAAACAATGGAGAAAGCACAGGCCATTTGAAATCAGTGGCAGGGGCTAGAGAGATGGCTTAGTGGTTAAGAGCACTGACTGCTCTTGCAGAGGACCCAGGTTCGATTCCCAGAACCCACACGGTGGCTACGAACCATCCTTAACTAATCCGCAGCATTGCACCACATGGGTGCACTCACATATATGCAGCCAATGCACTCATACACATAAAATAAAAATAATAAATAAGCCAGGTATGGTGGCGCACACCTTTAATCCCAGCACTCGGGAGGCAGAGGCAGGCGGATCTCTGTGAGTTCAAGGCCAGCCTGGTCTCCATAGTGAATCCAGGAGAGCTAGGGCTACAGGGAGACCCTGTCTCGAAAAGACCAATAAATTAAATAAATAAATAAATAAATAAATAAATAAATAAATAAATAATTTAAAAAAAAGAAATCAGTGGCAATACACATCTAACTCTCAATGTATTTCATTATTACTTACCAAATAAAAGATGCAGTTGAAGTGATTTGCATATACTATCAAGCAGTATCACTGACTGGTCTGCCACAATTATAAACCCATCACTTAAGCTGCATGCTTGTATCTTAGGACTCACCGAGGCCTGTGGGAGGGGAAAGCATGACCAAATCTAAATAACTATATATAAGTTTCATAATTTCTAACAACAGTATCATCACATACCACTTTAAAACATTAACTGGACAGGGCTTTTTTCTTTAGTCTGTCTATTTAGTTTTCAAGTTTTCCTTTGTATGCATTTTTTTTTTTTTTTTTTTTTTTTTTTTTTTTTTTTTTCTTTTTGAGACAGGGTCTCCCTGTAGCCCCAGCTGGCCTGGAACTCACTTGTAGAACAGGCTGGCCTTGAACTCAGAGATCTGCCTGCCTCTGCCTGCTGAGCACTGTGATTAAAGGCATGTGCCTGGCTGTATGGTGCATCTTATTTTTTTTCCAGGAATATAGTCCAAAATGGACAGGGAAGAGCAAAGGTATCTTGTATAATCCCTTGTATCCCAATGGTTAACCTAATGTTATAGAAGCCAGGGATTAACATAAACAAATGAATTAAGCCTGGGTACTGCACCTATAACTAGGGAGTGAGACCATGGTGAACTGTGAACTGGAGGGTACATATCCCTATGATAAAGAAAAAGCTAAGTCAATATTTTTTAATTTTCTTAAAATTTATTATTTTTATTTTATGTGTATGAGTGTATTGCCTACATGCATGTGAGTGCACCCATGCTGTGCAATGCCAGGGAGGTCAGAAGAGGGCTTTGGATTCCCCTGAAACTAGAGTTAATGATGCTTCGTAGGCGCCATGTGGGTACTGGGAATTGAACAAGGGTCCTCTGCAAGAGCACCTGGTGCTCTTAATCGCTGAGCCATCTCTCCAACCCCGACAGTGTCTCTTTCTTTGTCTTTTTTTTTTTTTTTTTTGAGACAGTGTCTCCCTGTAATCCCAGCTGTCCTGGAACTCACTATGTAGACCAGGCTGGCCTTGAACTCACAGAGATCCGCCTGCCTCTGCCTGCTGGGATTAAAGGCATGCTCCACCACACTGGCCTGACAGTGTCTTTTTTAAAGACTTATTTTTATTTTTAATTTATGTGTATGTCTGTGTATGGGTATGTGCACATGGGTACAGATGCCCACAGAAGCCAGAGGCATTGGATCCCCCAGGAGCTGGAGTTACAGCCAGCTGTGCGCTACCTAACATGGTTGCTGGGAATTGAACTCAGGTCTTTTGGAAGAGCAGTATGTGCTGAGCCATCTCTCCAGCCCTGAGGCAGTGTCTTGCTAACGTTACCCTAGCTGGTCTGGACTCATTTTATGACTCAGGCTAACCTCGAACTTCTAAGTTCCAGCAATCCCCTCAGACTCCAGAATACTGGGATTACAGAAATGAACCACCACATCCAATTTGGCTTACAAACATCTTACATGTATGATATGTCAAGAGAAGCTATGAAGTGTTCAGCTTTCGAAGTACTGGTCCTAAGATGATGCAGGGGGAAGAACAGTCTCTGTCTGAACCTTGATTTGCAAGAGGTGCTAAAGGTGGAGCTACTATACCTGCAAGTTTTATGCATAAAACAGTCAATATCAAAATCATTACCTTTTCAGAGGAGATCTTCGCAAGCAAATCTACTTGGTACAATGCAGTCCCATTTTCTTTTCTTGAACCAACATTCAGGTATCCACTTCCTGTATCATCACTTGTTAACAGCTCAATATCATTCCACATGTTTCTGCGAGTGTCTGAGTCAGGAAGTAATATCTTTCCTGTTACAACATAAAATTACAGACCAAATTATCTTTTTGCATAGAATCCAGTTCCTTAGGTACTGAAAAAAGTCTTACTCAAAGCCAAAAAGACAAAAACCTACTATCAATACTTTAAAAACTTCATTTTTGATGTTATTATTTCTATGGTCACCAGACATGCTAGTGTAGAAATATAAATGAAACTACATTATGATTATCACCAGAGAACATTATATTGTTTAATACAAGACAACAATTCTAATTTTATCAATGCATCCAAGAGTTTATAGTGTTCTGTATGCTCAACATCTTGAAACTATCAAAAGTTTCCATTTGAAATAAACTTTTTATCAGCATAAGCCCAGGTTCTATAGTCAGACTGGGCTATGTCAAGATAAGTATTTATTAATTTACTTATTGAGCAAACAAATTTATTAAGGAAAAGTGAGACCAGACTCTTACGAGTTGGAGGGGATCCAAGAGAGGAATGCCCAGGATACTCTTTCAGAAGTTAAGATCCTATTTCAAAAGAACATCCATTACTACTGCAGCACTCCTCTTAAAACATAATAATAGGAGCCAGGTGTGGTGGCACTTGAGAGGCAGAGGCAGGCAGATCTCTGTGAGTTCAAGGCCAGCTTGGTCTACATAGTGAGTTCCAGACTAACATGGTCTATATGGTGAGTTCCAGGCCAGCCTGGTATACATAGTGAGTTCCAGACCAGCCTGGTCTACATAGTGAGTTCCAGGCCAGTTGGGACTACAGGGAGATCCTGTCTCCAAAAGACAAAGTAATAATAATAATAATAATAATAATAATAATAATAATAATAATAGGGGCTGGAGAGATGGCTCAGTGATTAAAGAACAGTGGCTGTTCTTGGACACCTGGGTTTGAATCCCAGCACCTACATGGCAGCTAACAATAGTCCATAACTCCAGTTCCAGGGGAGCTGACGCCCTCTTTGATCCTTCACAGGCATTGCTCAACATGGGTGCACTTATATACATGCAGGCAATACATGTATACACATAAAATAAAAATAAGCAAGGTGTGGTGGCACACTCCTTTATTCCCAGCACTTGGGAGGCAGAGGCAGGCATATCTCTGTGAGTTCAAGGCCAGCCTGGTCTACATAGTGAGTTCCAGGCCAGCTGGGGCTACAGGGAGACCCTATCTCAAAAAGACCCCAAAAATTCCTAGTCCAGAGAAAAAGAAAAAGAAAAAAGAAAGACACTGTGGTCTAATGGAAGAAACTGTAATTCTGTCACTTGGATATATCATGCTTAAGATTCAGTTGAGAGGTTATCAGAAATGCTTTCAAAAAAAAATCAAGAGAGATTGAATCCAACAGTGGTTATCAGCTGTAGCTTTTCAAGTACTTTTTGTGTCTTGACATCAACTGTTAACCTTAGTCTTTGATACACAAATAAAAATATTTTCTTTGTATTTAAAAAAAAATTCAAAAAATTAAAAGATAATAATAATAATGAGCTGGGCGTGGTGGCACGCCTATAGTCCCAGCACTCAACAGTCAGGCAGATCTCTGAGTTGGAGGCCAGCCTGGTCTACATAGTGAGTCCCCAGGACAACCGGCAACATAATACATAATACATAAATCAATAAATAAGGAGGCGCTAGAGACATAGATCTACTGAGTGTTTGCCTTATATACAGGAAACACTGGGTTCAATTCCCAGCACAACATAAACCAGGTATGGTAGTACACAGGAGGATCAGAAGTTCAAGGTCTTCCTTGGCTTGAAGGCCAGCCTGAGCTGCTGAGAGAGAGAGAGAGAGAGAGAGAGAGAGAGAGAGAGATATTAGGGTTTCTTGTGTTTGAGTGTATGGTACCAGAGATGGAACCCAAGGTTTTATACATGGTAGGCAAAAATATTCTCGCAGAGCTTTATCCTCTGCCCCAGAACTGGGTTTCTACACCAGACTACACCTGAAACCTTAGGAGAAACCTTAACCATGCCATTAACAAAGATTTACATAACTCATATCATCTGTGAACTGGGTAGGAATAGAATACTGAGTTAGAAAATATCCCTGGAATATGACTGATGAGGAACAATAAGCTTGATGAGAGGGGCTGGAGATGGAGAGCACATACTGTTCGTGCAGAAAACCGGAGTTCAGTCCCAGCACCCACATCAGTGTCTCATATCCACCCGTAACTTCAGACTCTAACCATCATTAAATAAAAGTGGAGGCAGGAGGCTTGGAGGTTGAGGCCAGTGAAGGTTGGCTGCATAGTGAATTCTAGTCTAGCCTCGATACAGTGAGAACCTGTTCCTAAAAAAGGGGTGGAAGGAATAAATTGGATTTGTCTAGCATGCTTGAAGCCCTGGGTTCATCTCCAGCTCAGCATAAACTGGGTGTGGTATTCCATGCCTACAATCCCAGAACTCAGGAAGTGCAAGAAGGAAAACCAAAAGTTCAAGGGAGATACAATGTAAGGAAGAAACAAGTTTTGACTTGATGCTGGTTGCTTTCACAGTCACTAGCCAGTTGTTCTAGGACACGTACCATAATCTTCCTTCTCAATTTTCTAATCTTTTTTAATACTTTATTATTTTTATTTTATGTGTATGAGTGTTTTGCCTGCATGTATGTGAGTGTGCCCATGTCGTGTAATGCTGCAGAGATCAGAAAAGAGCTTGAGATTCCCCTAGAACTGGAGTTAAGGACGGTTCATAGCCACCATGTGGGTGCTGGGAATCGAACCCAGGTCCTCTGCAAGAGCAGTCAGTGTTCTTAACTGCTCAGCCATCTCTCCAGTCCTCAATTTTCTAATCTTTAATCTTAAAATAGTAATACAGCGAGATGGCTCAGTGGGTAAGGTCACTTGCCACCAAGTCTAACAATCTGAGTTCCAGTCCCAGAACCTACATGGCTGAAAGAACTGACTCCCTAAAAGTTAACCTCTGACCTCCACACACCTGTGTCATAGCACATGTGCGTATGTGCATAAGCACACATAAATAAATGTAAAAAAGAAAAAAAATTTTTTTGGTCTTTTTGAGACAGGGTCTCCTTGTAGCCCCAGCTCACCTGGAACTGGCTATACAGACCTGGCTGGCCTCAAATTCAGAGATCTGTCTGCCTCTGCCTCCCAAGTGCTGGGATTAAAGGTGTACGCCACCACACCAGGCTAAAAAAAAAAAAATTTAAGTAATATGTCCAAGAGGTTGGGGAGATGGCTCCAGGTTAAAGAGTGGCAGCTCTTGCCAGGCACAGTAGCTCACGCCTTTAATCCCTGCATTCAGGAAGCTGAGGCAGGTGGATCTCTGTGAGATGGAGACCACCCTGGCCTACATAGTTCCGGCCATCTGGGACTAACAGAGAGACCTTGTCTCAAAAAGATGAAGAAAATAAATTTAAATAAATAAATAAAAGAGTGGCTGCACTTACAGAGGAACTCGGTGTGGTTCCCAGCACTCACATGGAGGCTAACAACTTCAGTTCTAGGGGATCCAAAGTTCTCTTCTGGCTTTCACATGCATCGCATGACACAGGTGCACTACCGGCATGCAGGCAAAGCACTCATGCACAGAAAATAAAATATGGCATATACCCATAACCTTAGCCTTCCAGAGGCAAAGGCAGGGGAGATAACTGAAAGTTCAAGGTCAGCCTGATCTGGTCTATACAGTCAGGGCTTTGAGTTCTAAAAGTTCACTCAACAATGCTTGGTTCATTTCAAACACTGTATTTAAGTATTTGCTAATTTGTTACCTGTGGAAACAGATTAACATTTGAGCTAGGAATTTAAGGAATATAGGCAGAGGTTCCTGCTAAGAACATAATCAAGTTAAAAGAAACAAAAGCATGCTAAAAACAGTTGAAGTGGCTGATATTTGGGTGGGAATTGGGAGATTAAGATAGAAGAGATAGATTGGAGTAAATAGTTTATGGATCTGATTCCTGCATTTGTACAACAAATGTGGACTTCAAAGGCCTTCCCTACTCACTGATTCAACAAATGTATTCTGAATACCTGTTAAGTGCAAGGCACTGCACTAAGAGCCATTGTAAAAGAATAGTTATGAGACAGGAAAATGTCATTATAGTTTATGTATGTATATACATCTTTTTCTTTCTTTGGAGACAGGGTCTCCCTGTAGCCACAGCTGGCCTAGAACTCAGTATGTAGACCAGGCTCATAGAGACCCACCTGCCTCTGCCTCTTGGGTGATAGGATTAAAGGTCTGCACCACCACACCACCATCATATATAGATACTTTGTTGTTTGTTTTGTCTCTTTGTTGTTTTTTTGACAGTGTCTCTCTAGTCATAGCCCCCTTGGAAGTCACAGTGTGAACCAGGCTGGCCACCATGTCGCAGAGATCCACCTGCCTCTGCCTCCCTAGGGCTGGGATTAAAGGTGCTGGCCACCACCGCCAGCTTTTTTTTTTTTTTGGTCTTTTTGAGACAGGGTCTCCCTGTCTGTCCCCAGCTATCCTGGAACTCACTATGTAGCCGAGGCTGGCCTCGAACTCACAAAGATCTGCCTGCCTCTCTGCCTCCCAAGTGCTGGGATTACAGGCATGCACCCCACGCCCGTCTGTTTTGTTTAAGCCAGGATTTCATGCAGCCAAGGGTGGCCTCAAACTTGCTATGTAGCAAAGATTGATCCAGTTTATATGTTGCCAGGGCTCAAACCCTGAGCCAAATGCTAGGCAAGCACTCTACCACCTGAGCAACATTCCCAGCCCTGAGGGTTTCCAGGCTTGGGCGAATAATCACCACCAAAAAATGTCAAGTACTCTTGTGCTCAGCAATTTTATTCATTTTATCTAAATAATTTACAGTTCAGGAAGTTAATCCTTCCTGAACACCAGACATTGAAAGGAAACATAAAACAAGTAAAGGCTATAATAAACATTCGTTTTTAGCGGTTAGAATGCCTCCCAACAAATAAATGCTCATACAAACACAATGAAGACTACAATATTCAGATAAATGGAGGCGGGAGTGATTTAGGGACTTGTTTGGAAAAAGAAGAGGCGCTGAGACCTGAATGACAGGAAGCCAAACCTTGTCAAGCTCAAGGGGAACAACGACGCAATGACCGGGAAGAATACCAAAGTTCAGAAACAGTTCAGGCAGCTACAAGACCTTCCACAGGAGTGGAAGGTGCTGCGTTTCGAAAGGCAGGTCTTCAAGATGAGGCTTTTGATTAGTGGAGGGTGGGGAAGAGGCACTAAACAGACTAGTGACATCACTTCATAGATAACTGGGATCACTGAGCGCGGGGCTGAGAACAGATGGGCGAGCATAAAATTATAAAAAGACGAAGCACTGCCCTTGAAGCGATCCACAAACGCTCAGACGGCCAGCCATCTACAATCGCCTCCAAGTTTTCTCCCTCAAGCATCTAGAGGGCTGCAACGGCGCTTTCCGCCTGACCCCACCTCCCACTCCCTACAGCAGCACGCTTGACCCTCCTCACCTGCAACTGAAGAAACTAAAAATAGTCGCAAGTACTTCACCCCTCTTCCTGACTCACGCAACCGCCCCTACTCTTAGGGTTCCATGTTAGGGCTTTGAATTGGCGGGAAATAGCACGACCAACCCCTTCCACGGAGGCCGGCGCAGGCCAAAATTCCTTCACAATCGAAATAGGAAGTCGCCCCACCTTTAATGACGTTCAGTCCTAGCTGCAGACCACGCGTTCTAGGGTGTAGTGGCCCTCCCCTTCGAAAGATGAACCAATCACCACCTCGAACCGCGTTGTTATAGAAACTCTTATCACCACCCCCTTTTCCTCCCAGCAAGCAGCGCGCCCGGCCCGGCCTCGTCCCTTTTGTGCCATCCGGGTCTATCGCGCGAGGTATTTAGTCTGTGGCGAAGCTTCGGGGAGGCCGGTATTGTTGAGCGCGGGAGGTGGAGGCGCCGCGTTAGCGGCCGCGAGTCTGAACATGGCGGTAGGTGCTAAGCCGAGCGTGAACCCGGGTTGTGTGTGTACTTCTTTACTAAGATCGTGGGGACGGCTCTCGGGGCTGTTCTCCGCGCTGATGTGTGGACAAAATGGCGCCGTGGCCGCCTTCTGCGCTCGCCATCATGGCTTCCTGCTGCAGGGAGGGGGAGGTAAGGCTGTGTGGATGGGGGTGGGGAGCCGCAGGGAATGCCTTTTTTTTCCAGAACTTTATCACTTCCCAAGCGCTTACTCCTATAGAAGCCTACTGTTTGTTTCTCTCACCCTGGGCAGTGACTGGTGTTAGGTTATTTTAGGGCTTGTGGGTTTATGCTTCCAGTGGACAACAGCGATTGAAAAGAAAAAAAGCCCGAAAGTCCTTCTGTGAAGTCTAGGGTCAAAAAGGCAGTGACTTGTGAGGTAATGTATGGGGAGACTGCAGTCTAAGAGCTGTTTTATGCGTCCCCTCTGTGAGATGGGGGTACTTGGATCATTTCGCACAGTCTCAACCTTAGTTCATTCCCCCCCCTATGGACCTGGAGCAAAAGAGTAAAAATTCGACTGGCTTAGGTTTTGGAAATACCTAGTTTCTCCGTATTTGTGCCTCCAAAACAGTTACCATTGTTGAGAACCGCGGGCCGTGTTTAAGACCCTTCGTTGACCCAGATAATAACTAGAGAACCTAAATAACCTGAACAGTAAATCTGCCCTAAGTAGACTATGCCCATTTCTGATGAATCATGCTATTGTTATGATTGCTTTTTTTCTAATTACCCAAAGAAAATACTTTTGTAAGCATTATGTATTTCTTACTATTGACCAAAAAGTTATGTTTAAATAAGGATTACTTTTCCTAGTAATTGGAACATCTGAAATTAGGAATGTGTGCAGTGGTATTCCACACCTTACTGCCCTCTCTGTATCTAATTGAATTTAGAATAATTTTATAAGGTTTCAAAAGTTTTTAGGCTTTTTAAATTTTGAACTGGTATTTTTCTTCATTTGAATAGTGTCTTGTGCCTCTTTAGCATACTTCAAGAATTGTACTGTTTTCTTGGAGTTCCAGTATTCTGAAAAGGGAAATCAGTTCAAGCATTTGTTTCTGCAGTGCCCTGCCATAAAAAGACAGTCCCCTAGAGAGGTAGCCTAGAATTGGATCCACTGCTTACCAAGATGTAAATGGTAGGAAACTGGTGACTTTCTGATCAACGAATTGAAAAAAGCAGAAGGCAGTTTGTAGTGCATGTTTATATAGTTCTTCTAAATTGAAAAAAACTTAGAATTTTTAAATAATTTTTTTTTCTGTGTGTCTCCATTTTACTAGTAAGTATTAGAAAAATAAAAGTTGTGTGGGCTATTACCACCTATCTTTTTTTTCATATATGTTGATTTTGTTCTATAGAGTGCTTTGCACTTAAATGATTGCAGATACCTTGTGTGACACAATGGTTTCTCCATTGCTGGCTTCTGTGCCTGTTCAAAATAAACATTGACTGGAGACTTTACTGCCTGAGCTAAGTGCAGGTTTTTCCATAAAGTCTTCCATTTTTGTCTTGGTTTTCTACAAAAGTGAATGATCCCAGCAACGGAGAGACTGAGGCACAGGAGATTGAAAAGTTAGAGGACAGCTGGGGTACACAGCCACCATTTCAAAACTTTGGCCAGGGGAGGCATGTCTGTAATTCAAACTTGAAATGCTTTTATTTTACCATAGCTGAAATATTTCAGGTTGTACAAGCACTTACCAAGACCTGCCTGAAATAGTCCTCAAGGATAGTGAGAGCAAGAATGAAAGTGTTGTGAATCACTATCACACTTATTGGTATGATATGGCATCATGTATTAGTAGACAGCAAAGACAAGAGATTACAATATTTTAGCTGGATGTCACCTATAAAGTGAGAAGATTGAACTTGATTCTGAAGTGTGAAAGGCTTGCAGCACAAAATTACTCCAGAAGTCACCTGTTGTGGAGAAAGCTGTGTTCTTATGCTGGGATGGGAGCTCCCCTGTGGTTGGTTGCTTCCTTTATCTTTCTTACTGCCCTTTTTGACCCACAGTTGGAATTTTAGCACATATTTATGCATTGCAGCCCAAATTGTCAATCTGTCTTTTCTCTTGTAGAATTTTTTATTTATTTATTTTTTTTTTGCAATTTTGGCATGTTTTGTATGCCTAGTAAATACTTGTTGAACTAATACAGCTTACTTATTTTACTACTTTCTGGACTAATCTTCCTTAGTGAAGTTGATCATAATTCTTCCTGCTGAAGAGTAGTCCAGCTTTTCCAGTCCAGATTTCCTAGATGTACTGAGAAGTTGGTACACTGTGTGTAAAGGAGTAGGTGGGGAATATTTTTGGTTTTAGCTGGATGTGGTGACACATGCCCTTAATCCCAGCACTCCGGAGGCAGAGGCAGATGGATCTCTGAGTTCAAGGCCAGCCTGGTCTGCATATGGAGTTCCAGGCCAGCTGGGGCTACAGGGAGACCCTGTCTCAAAAAGATCCCCCCAAAAATGTTGGGGTTTTTTTTGTTTGTTTGTTTTATGGGTGGTATGCAGGCTTTCATAAATCATGATAAAAATGATTTATAAGGGTGGGCGTGGTGGTGCATGCCTTTAATCCCAGCACTTGGGAGGCAGAGGCAGGAGGATCTCTGTGAGTTCAAGGCCAGGCTGGTCTACGTGGTGTGTTCCAGGACAGCTGGGGCTACAGGGAGACCCTGTCTCAAAAAGACCAAAAAAAAAAAAAAAAAAAGATTTTTAAGGCTGGGCGTGGTGGCGCACGCCTTCAATCCCAGCACTTGGGAAGCAGAGGCATATGGAGCTCTGTGAATTTGAGGCCAGCCTGGTCTACATAGCAAGTTCCAGGTCAGCTGGGTCTACAGGGAGACCCTGTCTCAAAAAGACAGAAAAAAAGATTTTTGGCTCAAGAGCCAAGTCATAAGCTCCGCAAGTGTACGTACGGGCTTGTGGGCTTGCTTTCCTCTTACCTGTTTTTTTTTTTTTTCAAATTTATGTAAGTGTTTTGCCTGCATGTATGTAAGTGCTCCATGCTTGCAGCGCCCATGGGGGCCAGAAGAGAGGATGTCAGGTCCTCTGGAATTAAGAGTTGCTGTTAGCTGCCATGTGGGTGCTGGGAACTGAACCAGGGTCCTCTGCAAGAGCAACAAGTACTCAACCACCACTGAGCCATCTCCAGCCCTGAAATCAATTTCTTCAATAGTACTATTGTTACTAGTTATTTGGACCATACAGATAGCAGAGTCACAGAAAAAGGTTTAGTTGTTGGGGATTTTTCGTTTTTTAGTCCTTGTGATTTAAGACAGAGCTTCATACATGGCTAGGTAAACCCTTCTATTACTGACTTATCTACTCATTCAAAAAATACCTTTGGGGGGCTCTTATAACTGAAATTCATTTCATAAGCATTTGCAGAATATAGGCAGCCCTTTATAAACTAGAAAATGGCTAATACTTAAATGAAGAAATTTAACCTTAGCTGTAAGTCAGGTCTCTCTAGGAAAGTATATCACTTTTCTTTGAGTTTGTGAGAGCTGGGATCTAGTGCAGTGTAAAAACAAGCATGAGGCCTTAGGTTAAGTCCTTAGCATTGGAAAATAAATTTTATATTGTAATAATTGTCTATAAAATGGTTTGAAGTAGAAATGATGTCTCCATAGCCTAGAGCATACCTAAGACCTCAGTGTCAAGGGGCTGTTTTCATTTAAAGAAGGTTAATTAGGTTCCTGGCTAAAGTGATTTTTCTGCTTATTCTTTTATAATATTTAAATGTCTTTAAATTTTTAATGGTTCGTGCTCTCTTTTTATTTTTTTTCTTTAGCTTTTTGTCTTTTTGAGACAGAGTCTCCCTATGGCCCCAGCTGGCCTGGAACTCTATGTATACCAGGCTAGGCTCGATCTACCTGTCTCTGCCCTCCTGAGATCAAGGGTGTACACCACCACACCCACCATTAAGTACCCTTTTAAAATATTTTTTTATTATTTTTATTATATGTGTATGAGTATATTGCCTGCATGTATCTGAGCACACCCGTGTCGTGCAGTGCCGTGGAGGCCAGAAGAGTGCTTCGGATTCCCCTGGAATTGGAGGTAAGGACGGTTCATAGCCACCATGTGGGTGCTGGGAATCGAACCCGGGCCCTCTGCAAAAGCAGTTAGTGCTCTTAACTGCTGAGCCATCTCTCCGGCCCCCTTAAGTACCCTTTTAATGAGAATGAGCCCCAGTTTGATTACCAGTAAAGTTAGCACTTTGGGTTCACAAATCTAAAATGGTTTGTAGTTTCTTTGTTTACCAGGAATGCTTGGAGCTAAGTCTTTCACTCCTGTGACTATACTTCATGTTCATCTATTTGGAAATCAGCCATATTTTGGTTTGAGTTTTCTTTTCTGGCAAAGCTCAACTGTCTCCATTCCTTACCTTTTAAGAACTTTGATCTTGGAGCTGGGGAGATGGCTCAACAGTTAAGAGCACTGGCTGTTCTTGCTCAGGTTCTGTTCCCAGCACCCACATGGCAGTTAACAACCATCCAGAACTCCCAGTTACAGAGAATCCAACACCCTCACCTGGCAGACACTTGACACTGCATGTATGCAAGCAAAACAGTCATACACATAAAATAAAAGTAAATGAAACTTTTTCACTCTTTTGGGTTTTTTGCTTTGTGAGACAGGGTTAACCTGGAGCTCACTGTCAACCAGGCTGTCCTTGAAGTCACAGAGAGAGCCAATTCTGTGTTCTAAGATTGAAGACATGTTCCACCGTGCCCAGCCTAACTTTGAACATTTTTCTTTTATCTTTTTTAGGCTACTGATACAGAGCGGGATGGACTAGCCCCAGAAAAGACATCACCAGATAGAGAAAAGAGAAAAGAGCAGTCAGATGTTTCTCCTAGAGCCTCAAAGCATCATTATTCAAGATCACGGTCAAGGTCAAGAGAAAGAAAACGAAAGTCAGGTAAGACAAAAATGTGATAAAATATAGTCTGGATTTATTTAATGTGGGTGCTGGGAATCGAACCCGGGCCCTCTGCAAAAGCAGTTAGTGCTCTTAACTGCTGAGCCATCTCTCCGGCCCCCTTAAGTACCCTTTTAATGAGAATGAGCCCCAGTTTGATTACCAGTAAAGTTAGCACTTTGGGTTCACAAATCTAAAATGGTTTGTAGTTTCTTTGTTTACCAGGAATGCTTGGAGCTAAGTCTTTCACTCCTGTGACTATACTTCATGTTCATCTATTTGGAAATCAGCCATATTTTGGTTTGAGTTTTCTTTTCTGGCAAAGCTCAACTGTCTCCATTCCTTACCTTTTAAGAACTTTGATCTTGGAGCTGGGGAGATGGCTCAACAGTTAAGAGCACTGGCTGTTCTTGCTCAGGTTCTGTTCCCAGCACCCACATGGCAGTTAACAACCATCCAGAACTCCCAGTTACAGAGAATCCAACACCCTCACCTGGCAGACACTTGACACTGCATGTATGCAAGCAAAACAGTCATACACATAAAATAAAAGTAAATGAAACTTTTTCACTCTTTTGGGTTTTTTGCTTTGTGAGACAGGGTTAACCTGGAGCTCACTGTCAACCAGGCTGTCCTTGAAGTCACAGAGAGAGCCAATTCTGTGTTCTAAGATTGAAGACATGTTCCACCGTGCCCAGCCTAACTTTGAACATTTTTCTTTTATCTTTTTTAGGCTACTGATACAGAGCGGGATGGACTAGCCCCAGAAAAGACATCACCAGATAGAGAAAAGAGAAAAGAGCAGTCAGATGTTTCTCCTAGAGCCTCAAAGCATCATTATTCAAGATCACGGTCAAGGTCAAGAGAAAGAAAACGAAAGTCAGGTAAGACAAAAATGTGATAAAATATAGTCTGGATTTATTTAATATGTTTTAATTTTGTTAGTTTTACCTAAGTGTTAACACTTGTGTTGGATAGTTTTGTTTTTTATTTTGTTTTGTTCTTTTTGTTTTTGTTTTTGTTTTTCAATACTACAGGTAGAACCAAGGGCCTTGCATGTGCTGTGTAAATAGTCCTCTGCCTTTGAATTATATAGCCCAAGCCTTGGGTTATAATATTTCTGAAGCAAGCTTGATGTTTCCAAATGCTCATCAGTATTTGTGTACTATTTCAAAAAGATTAAACCAACCAGGCAATGGTGGCACACATCTTTAATCCCAGTACTTGGGAGGCAGAGGCAGGCAGATCTCTGAGTGAGTTCCAGACCAGCTGGGGCTACAGAGAGACCCAGTCTCAAAAAGACCAAAGAAAAGATTAAACCAGCTGGACATGTCACACACCCCCAGCACTCAAGGGAAAAAGAAAGAAGCATGGAAAGTATAATGCTTTGCTATTTAAAGAAAATCAAGGCTGGGGTTGGTTTTAGTGGTAGAGTGCCTGGCATGCATAATAAGGACCTAAAATTTCAAAGTAAACAAAGAAATGAACAAATAGAAGAGAAATAGAATAGCAGCTAGCTTAAAAAGTGTGACGAGTTCAGCCATTTATCTTTTGTGTCTATAGATAATTCTCAACCCAAAAAAATTTTAAGGGGCTGGAGAGATGGCTCAGCAGTTAAGAGCACTAACTGCTCTTGCAGAGGACCCGGGTTTGATTCCCAGGGGAATCTGAAGCCGCCTGACCTTGAGGCACTGTGTGACATGGGTGCACCCAAATACATGCAGGTAGCTGGGCATGGTGGCGCACACAGGTGGATCTCTACGTTCTAGGACAGCTGGGGCTACAGGGAGGCCCTGTCTCAAAAAGACGGGAAAAAAAAAAACAAAAAAAAAAACATGCAGGCAATACACTCATACACATAAAATAAAAATAACAAAATTTTTAGCCAGATGTGGTAGCGCACGCCTTTAATCCCAGCACTCGGGAGGCAGAGGCAGGTGGATCTCTATGAGTTCAAGGCCAGCCTGGTCTACGTAGTGAGTTCCAGGGCAACTGGAGCTACAGAGAGGACCCTGTCTCAAAAAGACCAAAAAAAAAAAAAAAATGTGTGTATGAGTGCTTTGCCTGCATGTATGTAAATGCACCTATGGAGGTCAGAAGAGGGTATCGGATCCCATGGGATCTGGAGTTGCTGATACTTGTAGCTGCCATGTGGGTGCTGGGCTAGAGCAGCCAGTATACTCTTAATGATTGAGTCACCTCTCCAGCACCACATCCAGTCACCCCTCCCCCCCTTTTTTGTTTGTTTGTTTGTTTTGATGTGTTTTGAGACCTCGAACTATAGCCCTAGCTAGCAGGGAACACTATGTAGACCTGGAACTTAGATATCTGCCTGCTGCCAGTGCTGGGATTAAAGGTGTGTACCACCACACCTGGTCAAACAAAATTTTTTTTTAATCTTTGTTTGAATTTGTTGAGTATTATGACCAGCATTTAATTGGAAATTTTCAAGCCTGGTGTGACAGTGCCCACCTATAATCCCAGTATTTGAGAGATGAAGGGAGGAGGATCAGGAATTCAAGGCCAGCCTGAGATAGATGAAACCTTGTCTCAAAAAACAAAAAGAGGGGGTTGTGAGGGATGGCTCAGTGGTTAAGAGTACTGGCTGCTCTTGGAAAAGACCTGGGTTCCATTCCCAGCACTCACATGGCAGCTAAAAGCTGTCCACAGTTCCAATTCCAGGTGATCTGGTGCCTTCTAGCTTCTGCAGGCATTGCACGGCACAGTTGCACTTATACACCAGCAGGCAATACATTCAACACATAAGTAAAATTTTAAATTAAAACAAAAAGAATGAGAGAATGAAATTTTCCAGCTAATAGCATCCTCTTGACTATATATAACATGTCATATATAACTTGGCCTAATTGTTTTTTCAAGATAGGATCTCCCTAACCCAGACTAGCCTTCTGAGTGCTGGTTTAGAGGTGTGTAAGTTTATTTAATACACAGCAAACTTGGCAGTAGAGCAGAAGAACTAGCTGCCTGATACGACTGAAGACCAGTGATTTGATTTGGGTTTGCGGTATATGGTCCATGTGCATGCGGGCATGCATGTAGAGGCCAGAGATTGATTTCAGGTATCTTTATCACTATCCACTCTTTGAAACGGGGTCTCACTGAACCTGAAGCTTATCATTTTAGCTAGACTGGCTGGCCAGTGAATTCTAGGGATCCTTCTGTCTCCTCCCAAACTCAGCCATCATATCTAGCTTTTATGTAGGTTCTAAAGATCCAATCTCAAGTCCTCATGCTCATACAATAAGCACTTTACCTACAGAGCCATTTCTCCAGCCCCTGGTTTTGTTTCTGGTTTTCTGAAACAGAATGATTTTCTCCGGTGGGATTACAAAGTCCTGTACCTGCTTTATGCATTCCAGGGTAGGGGGCTGGCAAATCCAGGGCTTTGGATGCTAGGCAAACAATTTATTGACCAAGTTATATCCCTACCCCTATTTAGGTTTTTAAAACAGTCTCCAGTATCTCAAGGCCGGGTGTGGTAGCACAGAGTTCGAGGCCAGCTGGAGTCTCCTGTATCTCCAAGAATGACCTGGAATTCCTGATCTCCTGCCCTGCCTCTCATTGCTAGGATTATAGGTTTTTGTTTTCTCTTGTTTACCTCTAATAAAAGCATCATAAGTTTACCGTGGACTAGAAAACAATGTGTAGTCAGAATGTTTTATCTTTATCTTAATAATAAGAATCGGCCAACAAGATGGTTTAATGGGTGAAGGCATTTAATACACAAGCCTAACAACATGAGTTCAATCCGCTAACCCACATAAAGGGGAAAGAAGAGAACCGAAAGTTTTCTTCTAACCTGTACACATGAACCACACCGATACACAGAAATTTTTAACATAGTAAAAATGGTTGGGTATGTTAGCACACACCTTTGTTAATCCCAGCCATGGTGACGTTGTGAGACACTGTTTCAAAAATTTTTTTAATGTTTTATTATTTTTATTTTATGTGTATGAATGTTATACCTGCATGTAGATAAGTGTACTCATGTTGTGCAATGCCCGAGGAGGACAGAAAAGGCTGTCTGAACTCCTGGAACTGGAGTTACAGACAGTTGTTAGCTGCCATGTGGGTACTGGGATTCGAACCCAGGTCTTCTGACCTGGGGTTAAGAATAGTCAGTGTTCTTAACTGCTGAGACATCTCTCCAGCCCCATTGTCTCAAAATTTTAAGAAACTAAGAATCTGTGACTAAAAGACAGTATAGTCATTGGAAGATGGGTGATTTAATTAGACTTGTAACCTAGACTGAAAATTGGGGAGGCAGTTTTGTTTTGCTTTTTTTTATTTGTTTGTTTGTTTTTTAATCCAGGGACATGTTAGATAAATGCTCTATTACTGACCTGCATCTCCAGCCCAGGAATTTGTGGGGGTTCTGTTGTTGCATTGTTATAATTTGCAGTTAGATGTTTGTGTGTCTTTATTGTGAGTTTTTGTGTGTTCACAGATAATGAAGGAAGAAAACACAGGAGCCGGAGCAGAAGCAAAGAGGTAATTAACACTTTGTAGTGAATAGGTACTTTAAAATTCTTGTTAAGTGTCTGATAGAAATGTTTGTGACTATATGCCTTTATCAAGGTAAGTGCCAAAACTTGAAATTTAAAAGGTTAATTGGGTTATAAAATAAGCATGATTTGGATTCATCATTTTTCAAGAGGATAGTTGTTTATATAAAAATTACCTTCAAAGGCTATTAACTTTATTATATTGTGAAAATACTCACAATAATTTCATATGAAGAATATAACTGGTTTTTTTAGGCCTGTGATACAGAGCTTCCATTAACCTGAGGTCCCAGGTCTCCTTATCCTTGACAGCAGCTCAGGATTTTTAAATAACAGTCATCTTTAAGTATTGATGCTATTTGTGGGCTACTTTTTCTCTGTGAAAAAAATGAGTTTTCTTTAGTAAAACTACTTTATCCCTAAATACTATTGAATTTTGAAATAAAAATGTGAGGAACAGTTGGAAAGGTGACATTGACAACAGAGCTTTAGGAAAAATAAAGGTAGCAGCTATATTGCAGAGAAGTTACCTGCCTCACCCACATAAGAAAATAAGGAATGAACTAGCCAGAACAGCAGTGTCAACAGTTAGAAGGGAGAAGAACTGTAAGGGGGCTGGGCAAGGGACTCCGAAAACATGTGGGCAGGGACTTCACCTCTTCCCTAATGGAAGCTCTGTTAGATTTTTAATTTAGGAGATTTTTTTTGTGAAAATGACTATTTTGTTTAGCTCACATGATAACATTTCTATAATAAATCATACTCAGCGTGCTAATGCGCGAAGAGACTGAACTGAAGACGCTGCAGACTCAGATAGCAAAATAATAAGCCTACTTCATGATAAGGTAACTATTAGTCATTCAAACTCCTATTTAAATATATCTTAAATCAGTTAAGGGTTTTAATGTTTTTTTTTTTATAAAATTAGTAATGTTTTGTGTGAAAGCTGGTTTAAAATAAACTCTTAAAGCTTTTGGAAGATTAACCCAGTATACCACTATATGGCAAAGTTGAGAAAATTTCCTTTTCTAAGGTCATATAGAGAACTGGCCGTGAAACTAAAAGTTTAGCTGTGTCTCCAGGTCTCTTTATTTTTCTACAAAACAGAAATTCACTGATCATTTTTCAAATGTATCGTTGTGCATGTTCCCAAATGGTTGACTACACTCTTGTTTTTGTTTCTTAAAATATTTAAGTTAACCCTGATTCAAAAGAAATACGCTGTGGCTTATTGTGGGAAAAATAAATGTTGTATTGTGGTGGGCTGGGTATCAGAGGATGGGGTCCAGGACCATTTGAGCTGCTATGTAGCTTTCTATCTTTAGAGCTTGGTTTATATGAAATAAGAGAATTGAATTCAAGGATTGGAGTTTCTCTGTAAATTTAAATTTTAATTATCCTTTGGTATTTGAGATGTTTAAGCTTTAAATACAATGTGGGTTTCACAAATCAGCATGTTGAAATATGTATTTTATACTTTCAACTTAGGTGTTCAATGGTAGGGTAGAGATTTGATTATACAGTTAATTTTAGCCAAGAACCTTAAGTGTGTATGTTACTGAAGCAGTGGTTTTAATCTTTCAAAGTATAAGGGAAGTACGTATTTTATGATGGTAATAGGAACTGGGTTACTTTTTTTTTCTTCTTAATTAAAATAAGTAGTTGTTTTTAGCCCTAGAATTCTAAGTCTTCTGGGATTAATAGATTCACTGTGTATAGACATTGAAAGAAAAATTATGATGTCTTTTAGAGAGGATGTGGCAGGGAGCATAGTATAAAGGTTTTCACCTTTATACTATGCACATTGTTTGCTATTCTGCATAATTTGAAATTACAAAAAGTATTAATCTTTAGTAAAATTATACTTTACTACTTTGACGTGTTTGTTCATGTCCGAATCTCTTTCTGTCTTTTTTTTTTTTTTTTTTTTTTTTTTGCCATTACTGGGGATTGAACCTAGGGGTCTCATGCATGTTAGTAAAGTGCTCTGCCACTGAGCTACATCCCTCAGGTCCATTATTTTTTAAACCTAATAGTATGTAGCCTGGATTTGATGTATTTATAAATATGTATATGTCTATATATTGATCTGTATTTTTTTAGATAAGCAGGAATACCTACTTCAGTACCTACTTTCAAAGTCATTTTTTATTGTATTTTAAATATTTTAGGAAACAAACGACAATTTTGTGTTTTTATAAAGAAAAATTGTAATTATGTATGCAGCATTTAGATTATGATATGAAACTAGATCTTTTTTTATTTGCCACACACTCCTAAGGTTACTAATGTTGCATCACAACCTTTTTGTTTACTGATACCCATACTAACTCTTTTTGTTGCACTATTTTCCTGAAAGAACCCACTTCTTCTTAAAACAGGCAAGAAGACATGAATCCAAAGACAAATCCTCTAAGAGACACAAGTCTGAGGAACATAATGACAAAGAGCATTCTTCTGATAAAGGAAGGGAGCGACTGAATTCATCTGAAAATGGTGAGGACAGACACAAGCGTAAAGAACGAAAATCATCACGAGGCAGAAGTCACTCAAGATCCAGATCACGTGAACGGTAACTGATTTTGGTGTTGTGGTTAGTGCCTTCTAGTAGCTTTAACTTAAATACAAGTTATACTGTAAATACAGGTAGTGCAGGTTAGCCCAGCACTATACCCATAAGAGTCTTAGGGAAATTTGTAATTACTACGTAGATGTATTCCTCTACTGACTAATAGCTAAAATCTTTGGGGGATCTTGGTAGTACAGTGCTTACCTGTCCTGTACAAAGCCCTGGGAATCAGTCCCCAGCACTGAAAGAACAAAGGCTTTTAGGACTTTACTTTCTAGTAAATCCAAAAGTGGTTTCCAAGACTAGGTGATAAAAGGTACTTAAAACATTTAATTAATGGCTGCCTTTCCTTAACTTAACTTTTCTTGAAATGAAAAGGTCATATTGTTAAACTTTATAGATATTTTAAGCCAATAACTATTTGTTAGGATTTATGTAGAATTTGTTTCTTCTTTAAACTCTGATCTACATTTTCTTTCACTGTGTATAAAAAAGGTGGTTAATTTTTGAGACAGGGTCTCACTCTAGCCCACACTGTCCTGGAACTTACCATTTAACTTAAACTGGCTTCAAATTGGTGGGAATACCTCTTAGCTCAGTTTTCTAAGAGCTAGGATTAAAGGCATGCTGTACTACCAGGCCCAGATAATACTGTTTTGTAGATGAGTTTTTAGTTAGATAAGGTCTTGACATGTAGATCAGGCAGGCCACTAACTTGTAGTGATCCCCCTGTATCTTGTCTCCTTAGTGCTGGCATTATATGTGTGCAGTACCACACCAAACTTAGAACTGTGCGTGTGTTTGTTTTACTCCACTTTGATTTCATTTTTTTTTCATTGTTTCCAAAATAAAATCTTCAGTTATTCAAAATAGCACTGTGTTAATATTTAGACATAATAAAGATGCTTTTGAAAAACAGGGTCATGGTTCAAATATGTGAGGTGGGTTTTTGTTTTGTTTTTTTTTTTGCTGGGGGTTGGGGTGGGGAGGGGTTTGAGACAAGGTTTCACAGAGATCCCTCTGTGTCTGCCTCCCAGGGGCAGGGATTAAAGGCATGCACCATACTTGGCAGGATGTATGGTGTTATAAACAAGATCCATTTTCCTTTTTTTTTTTTTTTTTTTTTTTAATCTGTGTGAGTGTATTGCCTGCATGTATGTGAGTGCACCCGTGTTGCACAATGCTGCAAAGGTCAGAAGAGAGCTTTGGATTCCTCTGGAACTGGAGTTAAAGACAGTTCATAGCTGCCATGTGGGTGCTGGGAATTGAACCCAGGCCCTCTGCAAGAGCAGTCAGTGCTCTTAACTGCCGAGCCATCTCTCCAGCCCCTTTGTTGTTTTTTTAAAACAAACTCTGGCAAGTTTTTAATTAAAGAAAATTTTCTGTGATTTACTTTTGGCAGTCTGCTTCGACATGCTTCTGAATCTGTGAGTGACAGCCAGTGTGCACACTAGTATCTTCTGCATGTTTGTGCCCAATTCAATATGCTGCCACTGTAGTGATGGACACCAGTTTGGGTCATCGTGGTATAGTATTATATGTCAGCAGATTTACTCAAAGCTGGTCAGTTGATGGCAAGGATGACCATTTTTGCTTTTCCCTGTCTGATCAGCTTCAGAATCTGCTTGTGCCCCAGCACATACTTTGCATTTTTCATAACAAATTGGAGCCTAGAGTTGATTGGCTCCAGAGCCATTCTCATCTTTACAGCCATCATCTTCCTGCCTTCGGTGGGGCACAACATCACACAAAGAGTGGCTGCCAACATGACTGGGGGACAAGAAAGCTCCATTTTCTATCTTATAAACAATGCAGAATAAGTTTTCACCTGTCTTTATTGTATACACTACAGATAATTTACAGGGTGTAGAACTGAAAAGACAACTGTGAACTTGGCACGCTACACATGCTGCAATCTCAAAAAGACAAAAAATGGGGGGGTGGGAACTATGTGTAACCACAGGTTTATACACTTGAGCTGGCCTGGAACTCACTCAAGAATTAGAGGCCAGAGAATCAGAAGTTCAAGGGATGCCCAGGATATGTAGCAAAGACCCTGTCATTAAAAAGCAAAAAGAGCACCAGGCCTGGTGGTGCATGCCTTTAGTCCCAGCACTTGGGAGGTAGAGGCAGGCGATGTCTGTGAGTTCCAGGCCAGCTGGTGCTACAGGGAGACTGTCTCAAAAACACAAATAAATAAATATATAAATAAATAAAATCTTGAGTGCATGCCTTTAATCCTAGCACTTGGGAGCCAGAGACAAGTGGATCTCTGTGAGTTTCAGGCCAGCTGGGGCTATAGGGAGACCCTGTCTCAAAAAGACAAAAAATGGGGGGGTGGGAATTATGTGTAACCACAGGTTTATACACTTGAATTTCAGGCGGCATCGCAGTAGAAGCAGGGAACGGAAGAAGTCTCGGTCCCGGAGTAGGGATAGAAAGAAGTCTCGATCCAGGAGCAGAGACAGGAGGAAGTCAAGATCTAGAAGCAGGGATAGAAAACGGCGCATCAGATCTCGTTCCCGTTCAAGATCCAGACACAGGCATAGGACTAGAAGCAGGAGTAGGACAAGAAGTCGAAGTCGGTAAGCATTCATTGTTCTGAATGAAGAAAAATAGGCTACTTAGAGTCTCTTTTCTGTCAGGTCCAAAATATAAAAGTTATCACAATTTATTTATTAATCTAAAATTTTTTGTTACCTCATCAGTGAAAACAAATATAGGGCCTAGGGGTGTAACTCAGTGGTAGGGGGCATGCTTTAGTATGTTAGTCTATGGGTTTTGTGCCCTCCCCACAGAAACAAAGTCATAGATAACAAAATTCTTTATTGTTGTTGTTTTATTATTTTTATGTGTAGGCATGTATTGCTTGCATGTATGTAAGTGCACCTTTGTCCGGTAATGCCCGAGGAAGACAAAAGAGGTGGTCAGATCCCCTGGAACTAGAGTTAATGGACAGTTGTTAGCTGCCACGTGGGTGCTAGGCTTCAACCCGGATCTTCTGCAAGAACAGGCAGTGTTCTTAACTGCTGAGCCATTTCTCCAGCCCCGGATAACAACATTCTTAGGAAGTCAATCTGATGTTTAGTCTAAATTCATTCTGTTTGTTTTATGGTCACAAGAGCTAATATTGGTGGTTGACATGCTATACATTACAGTTTGTGTGTTTGCACAAATGGAAAGGCCAAAGGAAGGCAACAGGGGTCTTTACTTTTCTACTTACATTTTGATACTAGGTCTTTGAGCCTGAAGCTCACCATTTTAGCTGGACTGGTTGGCTAGCAAGCTCTTGGGATCTTCTCTGTCCTATTGTTTTTGTCTGCCATCCAGACTTGCCCCACCACCACCCCCAAAAGCTGAGTTAACAACCATGCCCAGATTTTTAAGTTTGGATTTGAACTCAGGTCAACTTGATTTCACAGCAGGTGCTCTTGACTGCTAACCAGCCAGCTCACACTGCTCTACCCTGCCCCAGTTTGATTTTTTTTTTTTTAATTTGTGTGTGTGTGTTTTGGGGTGTGGTGTTTTTGTTGGTTTGGTTGGGGGGTGGGGTTGGTCGTTTTTGAGACAGGGTCTTCCTATAGCCCCAGAGCTGTCCTGGAACTCACTGTGTAGCCCAAGCTGGCCTTGAACTCACAGAGATCCGCCTGCTTCTGCCTCATGGGTGCTGGGATTAAAGGCGTGCACCACCACACCCGGCTTTATTATTTTTATTTTATGTGTATGAGTGTATTGCCTGCATGTATGTGAGTGCACCTGTGTCGTGTAGTGCTGCAGAGGTCAGAAGAGGGCTTTGGATTCCCCTGGAACTGGAGTTAAGGACGGTTCGTAGCCGCCATGTGGGTGCTAGGAATTGAACCCGGGTCCTCTGTAAGAGTAGTCAGTGCTCTTAACCGCTGAGCCATCTCTCCAGCCCCATCCCATTTTGATTTTTAATTTATAATTACCATTTTACTCATTTGGTTTCAGTCTGTATTTTTTAATTGTCTCTTTCGAAGCAGTTCAGTTGACTGGTGTTTCTTGTTTGGGTCCTACCCAGTGACTTTTTACTAAGATTTATGTGTCTTTGTGTTCCACATAAATGAATGTGGAAGCCAGAAGAGGACATCAGATCCTCTGGATCTGGGTTTACATACAGGCAGCTGTGAGCACCCAACATGGGTGCTGGAAACCCAACTTGGGTCATCTGGCAAAGCAGCAAGCACTCTTTAACCACTGAGCCCTCTCTCCAGCCCCATGCATGAATTTTTTGCATTTCATTTTGCTGTTTCAGGCATTTTAGTGTTCTGTTTTGTGAGTTTGGTTTTTTGTTGTTGTTTTTAACGTGTTTTGCCTGCAATGGCTTAGAGGCTAGAAGAGGGTATTGAATCTCCTGGAACTGGAGTTAAGGATGATTGATTGTTAACTGGAAACTGAACGTGGGTCCTCTGCAAGAGCATCTAGGGCTCTTAACCACTGAGCCATCTCTCTAGCTCCCATAACTATTTTCGAAGGCATTACAAATTCAGTTCAAAATACTCGGATTACTCTGCTGATTTCCCTTTTGTATACATACTAACAGAGAATAACCAGTGTATGAGATTAGTCTTTGCATTGTTGTACAACACAAAAATCTGGAAATGGCCTGTGATTCCAGTGTATCTAGGTGTAATAGCATGTTTAGCCACGTATAACTTGTAATAATTATGAAAGATGTATCATTTGATTTTGGTTGAACTGTGTAAATAAAATTGATTTTTATTAAAGAACTGGATGGCCATACTGAGACATGTAAAATACTATTTATTGCAGAGATAGAAAGAAGAGAATAGAAAAACCAAGAAGATTTAGCAGAAGCCTAAGCCGGACTCCTAGTCCACCTCCCTTCAGAGGCAGAAACACAGCAATGGATGCACAAGAGGCTTTAGCTAGGAGGTGTGTACATTATTTCAATTAATTTATTTTCCCTTTTCAACTTTACATAGTCAACTGTGTAGACACAGTGAATGCTTGTAGCACATTTGTGATGCAGAACTGTGCGAGTAACATTTGGTAGTGGTGATATGTTGGGTTGGGTTGGGTTGGGTTTTTTTGAGACAGGGTCTCCTGGTAGTCCCAGCTGGCCTGGAACTCATTCTGTACAGACTGGCCTGAAGTCTCTGAGATCTGCCTGCCTCTACTTCCCAAGTGCTGGGACTAAAGGTGTGCATCACCACACCCAGCCTGTTGTTTTTTAATCCTTAAGATGGTTGAATATTTGAACAACTAGGAAGATTGAGAAGTTTTTACCTTTGTGATTAATTAAACTGATTCAGTTTTTTTCCCCCATGAAAGAAATTAGTTTCTTGGTATTTGAAAATGTCTTTAAAATCTGGTTCAAGAACTGTTCGTTTTATATATATCTGCAGTGGCTTTGCCTTTACTTTTTCTCTTTTCCTCAAGAAAACAAAATTCTGAACACTAAGAGTTTTGTCAGTAGTTTTTAGTTTTAAGGTGACAACTAATATACCCTGTAAGCCAATTTCTTAACTTGCAAAGAGAACATTGTACTTTTCTAAGTTTTCTGTTTCAATGATGGTCGATTATGAGACCACATTAGAGCAAGACTGTGTGACTGAAATCTGCAAATGCTTCAAAGGATGGCCTCATGGAAGGCAAAAAGTGAAACCAGACGTTTGTTTCCAATTTTTGACATTCTGAAACTCTTTGGATTGGGTTTATTTTCTTTTTTTCCTTACAAAATTGAGTTTGTATTTTGTTTTTCATTATAAAAATACAGTTAATCACAATGTAACCTGATGTGCTGCTGTCCTGTGAAGCCAGCCTGGCAGAAATGCAAGCTGAACAGCAGCAGCAAAGGTGTGAGCTCGCCCCCATCTTCATTCTATTCACCTTAGTAAATGGAGTTAGTTCTAAACCCAAAATCGTCACTTCTACAACCAATAGTAGTTAGTCTTATTTAGCTTCCAAAACTTAAAAGCAATAGAATTACAAGTCTATAATTATTTGTTCGTTATCTGACAACTATTTTCTAAGCTGTCCTAAAGTTTGCTCTTATTTGTATGCTGTCATCTATTATATTTTCCTTTTTTATTATTACTATGATGTAGGCTGGAGCCTTGCACTGGGGAGGTACAGGTAGAAAGATCAGTTCAAAGTCATTCTTGGCTACATAGGGAGTTTCAGACAAGGCTGGCCATAGGGAGGCAGGGGCAGGCAAGCCAGGTCTACATGGTAAGTTCCAGGACTGCTGGAGCTACAGGTCTCAAAAAGACCAAAAAAAAATTTTTTTTTAGGTGAAATGAACTTAAAGCAGCTTGAGGAAGAAAATCATCTGTGACATATTTTATTGTCTTAATCAGAACTGTTATTCTTAAGGAATGTGTATGTGTTCAACAAAGCAAAATAAGATTATGGGTTGTATCTATTATATGAATTTAAGTAGTTGTTAATTAAAAGCAAGTACCTGCTGAGGATGTAGCTCATTTAGTAGAGTGCTTGCTTAGCATGTGCAATCCCTGAGTACCTCAGCCTAAACCCCAGTGTAATACTGTAATCTTAGCACTTAAGAGGTAGACGTAGGAGGTCCAGAGACTAAAGGCATTCTAGCTACTTGAGTTTGAAGCCAATCTGGATTACATGAGGCCCTGTCTCAGGAGGGAAGGGAAAAAAGCCAGTTTGCTGCGCGTGTCTCAAAAATACAGCTTTTTCCTCAATCCTGGCTAGTTTTCACCACGGTTAAGACAGGATGGCATTTTAACTTAAGACTGATAAGTCAAGTGATCTTTTTAAAGAAAAGGGGTTTCTCTTTCAGGAACTGATTGGTGTTATTGTCTGCTGTATAGGAAATGGATCTGACAAATGTATCATAATTTTGTGTGACGTATAATTCAGTTTTATTTTTATTTTGTATTCGAATAAATTTATGTCACCATTTCCTTTGCTAATGATAGATTTATTGGTGGTAGTTTGTCCTTTTGGTCTAATAGATTGTAAAGATGTATTTTTATTAACTTAAATATTACAACAATCCCTTATTTGATTATAAAATTGATTGAAAGATGAGGGTCTTCCTGTGTTGTCTGTGTTGACCAGGCTCATGGCAAGCTTCCAACCAAGGGCGCCTCTTCCTATAACACCTTAAGTAGCATATGCCGTGCAACTGTTCTTTATTTCTTTGTGTCTGGTGGGGGTTTTTGTTGCTGTTGTTTTTGGTTTTGGTTTTTGAGGTAGGGTCTTCCTGGAGCACTGACTGGCCTCCATCTCACAGAGATCCACCTGCCTCCCAAACTGCCCGGCTTTTGCTTTTTGGATTTTTTTCCAAACGGGCTTTCACCATGTAATTAACTCTGCCTTAGCCTTCTGAGTCCTGGAATTTCATGCGTGTCTTGAAGCCATGCCTGGCTATGAAATTTGTAATTTTTGATCATTTATGAGTGTTTTGTCTACATATATATGTACACCACTTGCATGCCTAGTGCCCAAAGAGGCCAGAAGAGGGTGCTAATCCTTGGAACTGGAGTTAACAGTTATCTTCATGTGGGTGCTATGAACCAAGCCTGGGTCCTGTGCAAGAGCAGCAAACACTCTTTAAATACTGAGCCATCTCTCCAAGTGTATCCTAGTTTTTAAATATGCATTCAATTTAGTTGGTTGGGGGGGACTTCTGTTTTATTTAGAGGGGGAATCAATCATGATGACATACACTAGTACTGATGAGGCAGAAGTTCAAGGCCAGCCTCAGCCTCAGCTATTTTAGACCCTGTCTCCCAAACTAGATGTGGGGGGCGGGGGTTGCACACCTTTAATCCCAGGACTTGGGAGGCAGAAGTAGTCAGATCTCTCTGAGTTCAGGGACAACACAGGAAGACCCCCACCTTTGTAAAAATAAGAACAGTATTGAAATACTCATTAACTGACTATGCCTGCCTAGTCTTAACAGAAGGAATATGTTAAACAGCTCAAAGTTTTATGTAGTGTTTTGTCTCTTTACATGTATGATGATACATAATGATTGAACGTTTTAAATTGTTCTTGATAGATTGGAAAGGGCAAAGAAATTACAAGAACAACGAGAAAAGGAAATGGTTGAAAAACAAAAACAACAAGAAATGGCTGCAGGTAACTTTATCTCTCTAGACAGGCACACTACCACTGAGCTACATCCCTAGCCCCTTTGTACAATCATTGTATTTTTAAATTTTTTTTATTACACTTATATTTTTGTGTGCATATATGTGTATGTGTGCCTGCACAAGCAAGCCATAGTGCACATGTGAAGATCAAGGGACAATTTCTGGGAATCTGGGTCCTGGGGATTAAACTTGGGGATCAGGCTTGGTAGCAGGCACCTTTACCCACTGGGCCATCTTGTAGGCTCCAGTGCAGATTATTTGAGGCAGCATCTCCATAGTTCAGGCAGGCCAGGCCTGCAGTGTATGTCCTCCTATGACAACCTTCCAGTGCTAATATTTCCGGTTATCACACCCAGTTGCAGCTTCACTTTTTTTTTTTTTTGGTCTTTATGAGATAGGGTCTCCCTATAGCCCCAGCTGTCCTGGAACTCATAGACCAGGCTGGCCTTGAACTCACAGAGATCCGCCTGTCTCTGCCTCCTGAGTGCTGGGATTAAAGGTGTGTGCCACCACGCCCGGCATCATCTTTACTTTTTTCTTTGTTTTGATATGTAGGAATACTTTACCTGCATGTAGGTGCATGTGCATGCAGTGCCCCTGGAGGCCAGAAGATGGCATTGGATCCCTGGGAACTAGAGTTATAGACCCAGACTATTGTGAGCTACCATGTGGGCTGTGGGAACCACACCCAGATCCTCTGCAAGAACAACAAGTTCTCTTAACCACTGAGCCATCTCTCCAGGCCTTAACCTAATGTGGTAGTGGTGGCTGGTTTGGTATGTGTGTGTGATGGCTTGCATGCTATGATACACATGTAGAGGTCAAAGGACAACTTGTAGAGTTCTCTTTTTCAGCTGTTCATTCTGGGAATCAAATTTTTTAACCCACTGAGTCATCTAACCAACTTGTGAACAGATAATTTTGATACGTTAATAACATGTTTTTGTTTTTTGAAACAGGGTCTCCTTGTAGCCCCAGCTGGCCTAGAACTTGCTATGTAGACCAAGCTGACCTGTAACTCAATAGAGATCCGCCTCCCTCTGCCTCCAGAATGCTGGGATTCAAGGCATGCACTACTGCAGACTATAACATCTGTTCTTAATATAGCACTTAAATCACCGTAAATATCAACTATAACAAAATTTTACAGGCTGCCACTTTGTTCTAATACATAATTAAAACTTCCATAGCTGAGTTAATAGTTTAAGAACTGGAGTTTTGTTTTGGCTTTGAGACAAGGTTTCACTGTAGCCCTGGTTGAACTCATTAGACCAAGCTGGCCTCAACTCACAAAGATCTGCCTTTCCAGTGCTGGGATTAAAGCCCAGTGTAGCCATGCATGCCTGTAATCTCAGTACTGTGGAAACTAAAGCAGGAGGTACACTGCAAATTTGAGGCCAGACTGAGCTGTTATGTAGCAACATATTGTCCCAAAAATAGGTGTAGGTAAAAAAAAAAAATTTTAAGAAGGCTGTTTTCTGGCTAGACACGGTGTGTATTGGAGGCAGAGCCACCCTGATCTACATAGCTTGTTCCAGGCCAACTAGGTCTACATAGTGAGACCATACTGTCTTTAAAACCCAGAATAGGGTTTTAGAGATAACAAGCAAATGTTCATTGATGAATATATTTATAAATGCATTATGAAGTTACATTTCCCTATATTTGGTGAAAATAACCCTGTCTTTTTGCAAATTGAGAGTTTTATATATACAAGCACTGTATTTTTGAGTGAATTACGTTTTGTATCTTTAAAAATTCATTCTGGTATCCTTTTCAGCAGCTGCGGCCACTGGGGGTTCTGTTCTCAATGTTGCTGCCCTGTTGGCATCAGGAACACAGGTGACTCCACAGATTGCTATGGCAGCTCAAATGGCAGCCCTGCAAGCTAAAGCCTTGGCAGAGACCGGAATAGCTGTGCCCAGCTACTATAACCCTGCAGCTGTGAACCCAATGAAATTTGCTGAGCAAGAGAAAAAACGGAAAATGCTCTGGCAAGGCAAGAAGGAAGGGGTAAGTTTTGTTACGTGCAATCATTAGCAATTGTTTAAAACAAATTTTGGATTGAAAACTATTATTTCCAAGAATTTGAAATAGTTAAATTTGCCATAATTATTTGAAACTGAAAATGTATGCAGGTATGTCCAACAGAGGGCCTAACAAAATGATGAACTTAAAACTTTTTTACATTTTTTTTGTTTCTGTGACTTGTTTCTGTACCTTGGTAGATGAAAACATTGTGTTGGAACATCAAAAGGTTCGATGCACCTGAACCAAGTTTTGAAGAAAATTCATTGTTGTCATACATTTATAAGGGGGGAAACTATCAGTTTAGGTATTTACTGAAAGCTATATTATGAGCCAGGTATGGCTGATGACCTTGACTTGAGTTCCAGGACAACCTGGGTAACTGAGGGAAGACCCTGTCTCAACACAAACATATTATGAAGTGCTTGCTTGTATATCTTTGCTTTATAACCATGACATAAATCTTAAAATAATTATAAATTCTATTCTGCTAATCAAATATTTTTAAGTGCCATTGTTTTAACTATTTTGTGGAATTTATATCTTAATAAAATGTATTTAAATTTTGCATATTCTAAAATTCATTGCTTCTTAACAGGACAAATCTCAGTCTGCTGAAATATGGGAAAAATTGAATTTTGGAAACAAGGACCAAAATGTGAAATTTAGAAAATTAATGGGTATTAAGGTGAGTGATGCTTTCTATTAAGATCTACCCTAACTTCTGTTTTTGTATCAAAGTATTCAGTGGTATATTAGTTCTGAGTACTTTCTTGTGAATCTATTATATATGTTCTTCAGATTAATGTACAGATTTTAACTATGCCTGATAGCCATCCTTAATGTTGGACAATACAAACTTTCTTAACACATTCATTTGTTGAGATCAGTTGGTCAACTTATAATTTCAGCACTCAGAAAGCAGAAGCAGGAGGATTGCTACAAGTTTAAGGCAAATGAGACCCTGTGTCACAAAACAAGCTGGACATGGTAACACACACCTTTAATCCCAGCACTGGGGAGGCAGAGGCAGGGGGGATCTCTGATCCACACAGGATCCAGCCTGATCTGATTGCCACAGTGAGTTCCAGGCCAGTTAGAGCTATAGGGAGACCATCTCAAAAAGACTTGCCCCAACCCCACCCTACCCCACCCTCCAAAAAACCAGAACTGTTTGTAGCTCAATTGGTAGAGGGCTTACCTAGCATACTTGAGACCCTGGTACCACTTAAATTTGCTGAGGAAGTGCCAGTATACTTTTAAAAGTGTGTGATGGGACTTTCATAAGCTATAGAAAAGTGTTTTGCTGAACTATTTAAAGACCTAGAAAGGTCCACAGATGTCAGGTTTTGGTTGTTAAGGAGGCTGACAGCTGGCTCTTTAACAAAACGGAATGCATACACTTTTGCCATTAGTGCTGCTCCCTCCACCCCTGCTGTTCCTCCCCTTCGATACCTGCACAGCTCTTTTTCTGTTACTGCTGCTGGTCCTTTTTTTTTTTTTTTTTTTTTTTTTTTTTTTTGAAAAAAGGGCCCTTTTTTTTTTTTTCTTTTTTTTTTTTTTTTTTTTGTGTGGGTTGTTGGGTGGTGTACTTTTGTTTTGGGTTTTTTTTTTTTTTTGGTCTTTTGAGACAGGGTCTCCCTGTAGCCCCAGCTGTCCTAGAACTCACTATATAGAGGCTGGTCTTGAACTCACAGAGATCTGCCTGCCTCTGCCTCCCAAGTGCTGGGATTAAAGGTGTGCACCACCATGCCCAGCTACTTCTGGTCTTTTAAAAAATAGCAAGCACTCCTATTGCTGAAATACTTGTATCCCTGCTTTACTTTCTGTGTGGCATTTATATACTACTATATGTTCTTTACCACCCTCTAATAGGAAGTTAAATTTTTTGTTATATCGTTTTGTGTTCATAAATAGCTTTGCATTTAGAGATGGTTCAATAACTATCTGAATTAGCTTAAATATTTTATATCTAATATTTAGAGTGAAGATGAAGCTGGATGTAGCTCAGTTGATGAAGAAAGTTACAAGACCTTGAAGCAGCAAGAAGAAGTTTTTCGGAATCTTGATGCTCAGTATGAAATGGCACGATCACAAACCCACACACAAAGAGGAATGGGTCTGGGTTTCACATCTTCAATGCGTGGAATGGATACAGTTTAAGAAAGAAAAGATCACTTTTAAAAGTTTGGGACTTACTTCTTATTCTGATGTCAGGTTCACCAAACAGCTAGTATTCTAGCTTGCATGGGTGTTGCATTGACTTTAATTTATTGAAAAATAAGTTGGTTTTTTTTTTTGTTTTTGTTTTTTTTTTGTTTTTGTAAATATCAGATCAGTGATACTGGTGTTAGTGTTGTAATCAGGTTAAACCCACTTCCATTAAACTTGACAGGACTATAGAAGGACAATATTTTTAGTTCATGAATTCTACTTTTCAAATATATTAAAGCTTCAGGTGGGATAAAATCTCATACATAGATTTTTCTTGTGTCCACTGTCTTGTGTACTTTTGTACTTAACCTTGTACAGTTATTTTCATCTCTTGAAACATGAAAGAAATGTTAATGTAGATGTTCTATAGAAGATCTGGCCATTTGGTACATAATCCAGCACAGATAAGCTGGATAGTGATAATAAAAATGGTTTTCTCAAAACTGGTGTTAATTTAAGTTACCTGGTATTGTTTGAGTTTGTTGTATGTAGCATTGCATTTTAAAATTACAAAACACTGGCTAGAAATTCCTTTTTTTACAACAGCTATGCTATAGAATATAGGCAATGCCATGGTGAGCAAAAATGTAAAAGGAAGGTGAGAGAAGCAAATTTATTAAAGTAGTCCTGCTTTTCTATTATAAGTCAGAATTGGTATACAGCATTTGTTAATTATTCCATGTTCAAGAATAGATTAATTCATTAAGGGATGTAAGCACTTTTGTTTTAATAAAGTGCCTTATAACAAGTCCTTTGTATGCTATTTGCTCATTACCCTTTGAAGTCTTACCAAGCAGAAACTAGAATATTAGAAGGCAGCATTGTTGAGGTGAGAGTGGTAGTGTAGGCCTTGTAATCTGTGTTTGTATGACTGAAGCAGAATTGCCTGCCTGGGCTACAGAGTAGAACCCTGTCTCAAACAATTAAAAACAAAAGTAATATTCAAGACTTCACTTTTTTTTCTTTTTAATTCAAGACTTGGTTCCTGTGTGTTAGTTCCAGAGGCTTGTGCTGTTTAATAGGTGCTTATGTGTTAAAGACATGGTAATGAGGCTGGACAGTACTACTAGGTACAGTGGAAGAGCTATTAGCTAAGTTGAATAGGATTTGGAATACTAAGGGACAGTAAGATCACTTAAGAAATTGGGGCTCAGCAATTAAGACCACTGGCTGTTCTTGCAGAGGACCCAAATTTCATACCCAACACCCACATGGCCTCTATTCAAAGTAGAATTAGTGGATTTTGAGCTGAGTATGCTGGCCCACACCTGTAATCTCAGTAGCCATCCTTGCCTGAATTGATACCTTGTCTCAAAAAAAGGAAAAAAAAAAAAATATCCAGGGGCTGGAACAGTTAAAGAGGTAGTTCAAGTCCTTGACTTTTCCCTGCAGCATTATGCAGTCTCTATGACAGTTCCAGTTACGGAAACATGTTCCTTTAGTTTGCTTTTCTGTTGCTGTAACACAAAACAGTTTGGAGATGAAGGAGTTTATTTTACCTTACATTTCTGAGGTACAGTCTTTGAGGGAAGTCTGGTGGGAACGGGAGCAGAGACCACTGAGGAATGCTGCTTCCCAGCTTGCCTATCTATACCTCCGAATCCTACCTGCCCAGAGAAACTACTAGGCCCTCCCCCGTCAGTCAGCAATAAAGTACTTCACAGACATAGCCACAAGCCAGGCCAATCCAATGGATACAAGTACTCTATTGAACTTTCTTGCCCCAGGTGACTAGCTTTGTTGGCAAAAACTAGTCAAATGTTAACTTTTAGCTCAGAACATCTCTTTAACTTGACCCAGAGATCCAATTCCCTAATAGGCACAGCCACCAATATGTCTGTGCTATTCCTATGTTCTCTGTTCTTGGTTTTGGTTTTTGTTTCTGCTTTTCAATCTTTTTGAAACAGGGTCTCCCTGTAGCCCCTGCTGGCCTGGAACTAGCTTTGTAGACCAGGATGGCCTTGAACTCACAGAGCCTGCCTCTGCCTCCCAAGTGCTGGGATTAAAGGCATGCACCACCACACCCAGCTATGTTCTCCGTTCTTGATGTAACTGCCACCATCATGAAGTAGAGTGATGACCTACAAACTTTGGCCCACAGAATGACATAATTACACATAAGATGACAGATTGACAATTCAAGATAGGTATATACTAATAATACAGCTTAACATTCCCTCTTGGAAAAGAGGGTCACAAGTCTCAATCCAGGCGTGGTGGCTCACACCTGCTGGAATCCCAGCACTAGGTAGGCTAAGGCAGAGAGGATTTTCTCAAGTTTGAGTCCAGCCTGCCTGCACTACAGATTGAAACTATCTCAAGCACAAAGGGCCTGAGGATGTATATAGCTCGTATGATAAAACAGCCCATAGGAAGCTACATAGTTAAGGACAATCTAGAATGCCTAAGACCTATCTCAAAAGTCTTACAATGGGAGTGGAGAGGTGGCTCAATGGTTAAGAGCACTGCACTGGCTGCTCTTCTAGAGGACCCATGTTCAATTCCCACCACCCACATGGTGGCTAACAACTCCTGGCCTCTGCAGGCTTTGCATGACATGGCATTTACATACAGGCCAGCAAGACATACATACACAAAAAAACTTTAAAGTCTTACCAGGAGCTGGGCATGATGGTACACACCTTTAGTCCCAACACTCAGGGGACAGAGACAGGTGGATCTTTGTGAGACCAGGTCAGCCCAGTCTACATAGCAAGTTTCAGACTACCTGTGGCTACATGGAGACCCTGTCTCAAAAAAGACAAAGTTAACAACCCTCTGAGATTCCAGTTACTTCCCTTCATATATGTAGCCTTTGAAATGCTAAAAATAAGGTAAATACATTGGGGTGAGACATTGGTGTTGGAACCACTCACAAGGCACTCATATTCCTGCAAGTAACTCCCCCAAGTTTATTTGCCTTGCTGGACTTGAGGTTTTCCTTGGTCTTTTGGCTCCTTCCCTATTTGCTCGCCCTCCCCTACCCCCCCTCAACATATACCACACATCTAACTAAAAATGCATCAAAAACTGCCTTGGGCTGGGATTGTGGTACTGTGGTCAAACTCTTGAGTACCATATGTGAGGTCCTGGGTTCAATACCCAGCACCACTAAACTAGAAAAGAATTTTTCCACAGGTTTAGTTACTTTTCTATGGCCTTAAGGTACCACATTAAGATGGAACCATGTATTCCCCAAACTTTTCCATATGCCATTGTTTATTTCAAGTGACCATTCAACCAGTTTAAGTTTGAATCCTGGGAAATATATACTGTCCCCTTTTCTTTCATATCTTTATCCCTTAATAAGTTCTGCTCTTTTATCTTTTAAATATTCTCTACTTATATAAACTCTTTTTCCCCACCATTATTACTACTGGAATCCAAGTTTGCTTTTTTTCTCTCTCTTTTCCTGCTGGAGAGCAAACCCTCACTCAGGATTCTACCAGTGAGCTACAGTCTTGGACATCCCACCCTTACCTTTATCCCACACCCATCTTCATCCCAACCCCTGCCAGCTAGTATTATCTACTTTTATTTTTTATTAGTTGGTTGGTAGATTGATTGATTGATCTTTTTGTAGCCCAGCTGGCCTTTGACTCACTATGTAGACCTTGAAGTCACAGAAATCTGCCTGCCTCTGCCTCCCGAATGCTGGGACTTAAAGGTGTGAGCCACCATGCGAGGCTTAGTATTTCCATCTGCTAAACTCAAAATTTTGTTCTTGTTCCATTTTCAGGCTATTCTCTGTTCTTTAATTAGGACCATCTTATCAGAATGAAAATTTGCTGGTCACAAATATCCTATCTGTTTAAAATTAGCTGGACATTGTGGCACATGCCTTTAATCCCAGCACTCTGGAGGCAGAAGCAGTTATTTCTATGAGTTCAAAGCCAGCCTGATGTACATGATGAGTTCCAAGCCAATCAAGACTTGGACCTGCACATAGTAGGCAGTCTAGGAGTACTGGCTTAATGTTCCAATTTCAGCTTGCTCTACTTTGCCTCCCACACCACACAGGTCTGTTTGACAGCCTTGGAGGATCTTCATTCTCTCTATACTGTGGACACCAATTTTACCTATTTAATCTTTCACCTTTCAGTTCAAGTTCCCTTCCCTTAGAGATTGGGACTCTCAGAGTCTTCTGTAGCACAGGCTCAACTTGAACTCGCTATGTCTCTGAGGATGGCCTTGAGTTTCTGACTATATGTTTCTTAGGATGTTTCTATAGTCAAGATGGCCTGACTATTGTTTCTTTGTCAAACATGTATAATTTCGCGTGTTTTTCAAATGAATGTACATATAATTATGGTATTTTCCGGGCTGGAGGGATGGAGCGCAGCGGTTAAGAATATTGGCTGTTCTTGCAGAAGACCTGGGTTCGGATCCCAGCACCCACATGGCAGCTAATAACTGTCTGTAACTCCAGTTCCAAGGGATCCGACAGCCTCTTCTGGCTTTGGATCCCAGCACCCACATGGCAGCTAACTGTAACCCCAGTTCCAGGGGATCCGACAGCCTCTTCTGTCCTCTGCTGGCATTGCGCAACACGGGTGCACTTACATGCAGGCATAACACTCATACACATAAAATAAAAATAATAAAATATTTTTAAAAAATAATTATGGTATTTTCTCATTCTTAACTACCGGCTTTAGGAGAGCAAAAATTTTTATTACTTGGTCCCAGAGTAGTGCCTGACACATTAAAAAGTCGAGAATAAATGTTACTGAATGAACGATGGAATCACAAAAACCTCATCAGACAAATCTAAAACAGTATAATGACCTAGCTAATTTTACATTTAAAAATGAAAAAAAGTCCAGTAACTAAAGTGGCTTGTCTAAGATTCCAAACGTAGCCTGCAGCAAATCTAGAATTCCTTTTTGCTGTTGAGTACATACACCACAGCTTGTCGTAGGCCATGAGTCGGACTCTTGATTCTTCAGCTTTGGCTGCTGCCTAACCGGGACAATCCATATTGTTTTCACTCATTCGGATCCGTGTCTAAAAGGCTCAATCCCAATACGCAAGGCAAACAATGAGTTGAGTCACTTAGAAACCACATATCCCAGGATGCCACGCTCCCAGGCAATGTCGGAAGTGGGCATGAGAGAGGCCGTGGCATTCTGGGAGCTGTAGTCTCGAGGCTGGTCCCGCCCCGAAGCGGCTTCGGCGGCCTGCCTTTGGAGAAAAGCCTGCAGAGTGGCTCCGCGCAGCCCCAGCCTGGAAGGGCGGCACCGCCCTCCAACCTTCGCCCCCAGCCCGGAGGCCTGCCCCGCCTCTTCTCCGATCTTTCCCACAACGCAAGATGGCGGCTGAGGTGGATTTTGGGGACTTGGAGCTATTCGAGGCGTTTGACCCTCAGGAGGAGTCGACCCCGAAGCCGGTTCACGCCCGCTTCAAGGACGAGGAAGCAGAGGAGGAGGAGGAGGAGAGGGGAGATGGGGAGGACAACGAGAATGGAGTTGGCGACGCGGAGCTGCGGGAGCAGCTTCGGCACTGCGAGGAAACCATCCGGCAACTCCGCGCCGAGAATATCCTTCCGGCTCGCTGGGCCCTGTCATCCGGGACGGGGGACCGAGCGCTGCCCAGCGCCCGCTACGGAAATTCCAAGGGGGCAGAATTCCGAGTCCTTGCTCCCGCTGGGCCGGGGGCGCTGTACTCAGACCTCTCCTGGCCCCAATCCGTTCCTGGGGTTTAGGGTAGTTTTAGACTGCTTAACTGTTGGACTGCACACGACCCTTCCCCTTTCCCCTTCTCTCTGCGGTCCTTACCCTGTTTGTTTTGCAGCCAAGCTTGAGTTGAGACAGTTGTGGTCTGTTAAAAGACCCCGGATTCGCAGCCTGGAATGGGATTGGGGGGGGGGCAGAATGCAGTGGGCCTGCTGTGATGCCTTAAAGAATTGGAGCATGGTAATTGCGTAATTAAGGGCTTAATTTTAGAGTTCTTCACCTTGAGCTAGCTTGCATTGCAGTGCTTTGGCGGAAACGCGCCAGATTTTCGTTTGACTTTAGTCATGTTTACAGATTTTCTGGATTTGTATGAAAAGCCACTAGTATGAGCTCCCATTCTTAGGTTTTCAAAATTTCCAATCGCAGGTAACTTTGGTTCAGGTAACTTTCCTTTTAAATTTGTAAAGAGCCCTAGGAGTTGTTGGTAGATCAGCTTTTGAGGGTGAAGTTTTTGTTTTTTTTTTCATGATACTATGCTATTAGGAAAACTTGTAAAAGACTAGAAAGTTGAAAGGATTGTGCCGAAGATTGAATCCTGCATTCTTGTTAACAGCTTAGTATATTGCCTTTATCACATACCATGATGCTTTGACATGGAAATTTTTCCTAATTGGCTATTTCAACTTTCTTCAGGGATACCATTGTCTAACGTTTTGGTTTGTCCCAGTTAGACTCTTTCAAACTACTGGTTCTTCAAAGGGATGAAAACTGTATTGTGGTTTCAGGGCCCAGTTGTTTTACCCTCCAAAGAAACATGTGCTCAGTGTATCATCCTCAAAACACTTTCAAGTCCTTTCCGTTTATAGCATTCTGATGACAAAAGTGACAGTTGTTGTGGTTGAGTTTTATAGCCTGCATAATTGTGTTTAATGAGGACCAATATTCCTTAACAAGTAATAACATCAAGAACTTAAAAGAAAATTGAACATTCTGACCAGACCCAGGTATGAGATCTTGAAATTACAACAAAGTTGCACCTTGCTGTTTATCTGGATATTAAGAGTAATCATAGTATTTTTGTAAAAAGTGTATTGGATTTGGGCATCATTGACATTTACTCAGAATATTGTGAAAAGTGTAGTAATGGTTCTTTATTCTTGACTTATGGGGGTAAAATGAATACTGGTATGTGCATTAAACAATTTTAAAAATATTTTATTTATTATTTTATATAATAAAAGTATGAGTGTATTGCCTGCATGTATTTGAGTGCACCTGGCTTCGGATTCCCCTGGAACTGGAGTTAAGGACAATTCATAGCAGCCATGTGGTTGCTGGGAATCAAACCCGGGTTCTCTGCAAAAGCAGTCAGTCAGTGCTCTTAACTGCTGAGCCATCTCTCCAGCCCCACATTAAACTTTTTTTTTTTTTTTTTTTTTCCAGTCTTTTTGAGACAGGGTCTCCCTGTAGCCCCAGCTGTCCTGGAACTCACTATGTAGACCAGGCTGGCCTTGAACTCACAGAGATCCGCCTGCCTCTGCCTCCCAAGTGCTGGGATTAAAGGCATGGGCCACATTAAACATTTTAACCAGACTTACTGGGTCACTCTTGTGACTACAAGCCAGAAAATTTTTACTGACTGGAAAAGGCAAGTTGTAGACCCAGTTGTTCCTATTTAGGAAACATTTCTTGGGGGGTTTAAGTTTATAGTCTAGCTGATTTATTTACAGTTTTGAGAAGGGTCTATCTTTTGGTTTATTGAAATAAGAACTCACTTTATAACCCAAACTGGCTTGGAACTTACTAGGTAGCCCAGACTGGCCTTAAAATTTGTACCTCAGCCTTCTAAGTGCCGGGATTACAGGTGCGAGCCACCACATGAGCATTATTTACACTGTTTAAAATAGACACAATGTGTATTTTTAAATAGACACAATGCCAGGTATAACATTTCTGCTTATTCATTTTTTCATTTTGTGTTGTTGAGACAGGGTCTCATTGTAGCCCAGACTGGCCTCAGCTTACCGTGTATTAGAAGATGACCCTGAACTACTGATCCTCCTGCCTCTACTTCCCAATTGCTAGGATTACAGCCTGATGCCACCAAGCCTGGCAAGATACAGCATTTTAGAAGAAAAAGTAGTATGCTTTCGAAAAAGTACAGTATATAGGTTTGTATTAACACATCTGGTTTTAACAAATAGAGTAAATGCTGGTGTCTTTCAATATAAATTTAATGTTACTAAATCTAAATTACTTAAGTACTGACTTGTGTGGAATGCTTGATTGGTTTGCTCACTCTCTCCCTTATTTTCTTTTCCTCCTGCTCCCTTTTTTCCTCATTCTCTATTTCGCTCTTTCAACAGGGTCTGTGTAGCCCAGGCTGCTCTCAAACTTGTGGCATACCTCCTGCTTTAGCCTTCCAAGTGCTGGAATTACAGCTAAGAGTGACCATGTTCAACTGAAATGGTATTTTTAGGCTTTGGAATTGGGAAGTTGCCCTGTGCATTTTTTGTTTTTGTTTCTAGTGTGAGTAACTGTGACTACATAGTTCTAAATTTTCAGATAGGGTCTCATGTAGCTCAGGCTATCCTAGAGTTCACCCAGTAGCTGTGATGACCTTGAACTTTTGATCCTTCTGCTCTTCCTCTTAAGTCTTGGTATTACAAGCATGTGATGCCACACCTGTTTTAAGATTTATTTTTATTTGATGTGTATGAGTGTATTACCTGCATGCGTGTAAGTGCACTGGTATCTTGCAATGCTGGGGGAGGTTAGAAGAAGGTGTCGAAATTTCCCGGAGCTGGACTTAGAGGCAGCTGTTAATCGCCATGTGGGTGCTGGGAACTGAACCTGGGTCCTCTGCAAGAGCAGTCAGTGCTGTTAACCACTAAGCCATCGCTCCAGCCCCCACACCTGGTTTTATGTGGTGCCAGGATTAGCACATGCATGCTAGATAAGCGCTCTTATCAACTGAGCCACATCCCCAGCTTTTTTTTTTTTTTTTTTTTTTTTTTAAAGACAAGGTCTCTCATGACAGTAGGTCATGCTTGCCTAGAACTCACTGTATAGCCCAGGCTTAACTTCAGCTGGGGGCAATCTTCCTGCCTCAGCCTCCTGAGTGCACCACCACACCCAGTCATTACCTTTTTCTTTTCTTTTTTTTTTTAATGTAGTTTCTAAATTTTTGTATGTAGGAGCATTTTGCCTGCATGCATCTAAGAACACCCATGTCATACAATGCCCATGGAAGCTGGGAACTAAACCCTGGTGCTCTGCAGGAATAGCCAGTGCTCTGAACTGCTGATCCATCTCGCACCCCTCTTTTTTGGGGGGGTGGGGTGAGACAGGATCTCCCTGGCCCCAGCTGACTTGGAACTCACTGTACAGACCTGGCTGCCCTCAGTCTCACAGAGATCTGCTTATCTCTGCCTCCTGAGTACTGGAATTAAAGGTGTGCACCACCCTACTAAGCTCATACTTCTCTTTTTAAAATACTGACCTCCTACATGATTTTGTAGCTGAGGATGGCCTTGAACTCTTGATCCTTCTACCTACACTTTGCAAATTCTGTTAATTTTGGATTTTTGATAGTTAATGCAATATAGGTTTGCCCTCTAAGAGACTTCTGTTTATGAAGTGTGAGGGTTTTTTCCCTTTATACTTTCTAGCCAAATTCAGAAACTTTTAGAACTATATTCTTGTAACCTGATGGCTTATCTTCTCCCCTGCTCCCCTGATTTGTGAAGAAACTAGCCCCTAGGTAAAGAAACTTTGGTTAAAAACAGATTGGGGTCGGAGAGATTGCTCAGTGGTTAGTTCTTACTGCCCTTTCAAGAAGACCCCAGTTCAGTTCCTAGCACTCACCAGGGGGTGTTCATAGCCACCTGTGACTCCAGCTTCTAAGGATCTGATGTCCTCTTCTGACCTCTGTGAGCACCAACACTGACATGCACATACCTCCACATAGACATACACACGTGCACATGAATAAAGTAAAAGTAAATCTTTTTTAAAAACCTAAAAGATTGCCTGTAGTTCTTAGTTTTTTGTGAATCTTTTTTTAATGTTAATAGGTAACTTCTGGGACTGATGGACATAGCTCAGTGGTTGAAGTGTTTGCAGCACAACCTCGAAGACCTGGCTTATGATCCCCAGCACTCATAAAGTGCTGCCAGTCATCTGTAATTGCAGCACTAGAAGAATCCCTGATCCTCACAGGCCAAGCCAGTGTAGCTAATCAAGGAGATTCAGGTTCAGTGAGAGAACCTAGCAAAAAGTAAGCCACAGCAGACACAGGTGCATTTAAATACACACAGGCAAAACACACACCAAAATAAAAATAGATACGTAAAGAATAAACTGGAGAGCAGTTGAGGACGACACCTTGACTTTGACCTCTGGCCTCCACACGTACACATGCACCTACAAAAACACATAAATCTCACACACAAAAGAGATACCTCCTGTTAAAACCACTAAAGGAGGTAGAATTGATGAAAACTCAGATTTTGCTTGAGAAAACGAGAGTTCTTATTGGTTCTTGGTCTTTTTGTGTGTGTGCTAGGGATTGAACCTGAAGGCCTTGCATGTGCTAGGCAATCACTACACTTTGCCTCCAGCCCTTGTGTATTATTTGTAAAATATGGTCTTTAATACTTAAGAATTATAAAAGTTAGCCAGGTGTGGTGGTGTACATCAATGATCCAGGACTTGGGAGGCTAAAGCAGTTGTAATCATAAAACTTACATGCTTGTAAAGGCTATGTATTGTGCTTATGTTATCTAAGAATATGTTTAACTTCTGTTTTAGTGGGATACTGGTGAACAATACTAAGATAGATGGACCTTTATTACAAATTCTATTTATGAACAATGCTATTTCAAAGTAAGTTTTTCTATTTCTTAAATATGTATTAATGTGTTTATGAAGCAATGGTTTCTGTGGTATACTGTTTTCATTTGTATTTGGATCATTTTTTAAAATTTATTACATTTTGTTGTTGGGGTGGGTGCACGTGCCATTGCACAATGTTGTAGAGATCAGGACAACTCGAGGGAGTTTTCTTCCATCATTGTGAGTCTAGTGGATAGGGCTCAGGTTGTCAGGCTTTGCAGCATGCACCTTTACCCCTGAGCTGTTTTGCTAGCTTTTGGGGTTAAAGTATGAGAGATAATGATTTTGAGCAAAGATATAAGAGTTACATACCCTTGAATTTGAATCTGAAGTCCTACATCTATGAACCTGGGCAGCCACAGAACCTGTTAGTTTTCTTACTGAGAAACAGTGTAACTACAGGCACCCAAGAGCGGTTAAGAGCACTGGTTGTTCTTGCAGAAGACCCGGGTTCAAATCCCAGCACCCACATGGTAGCTAACAGCTGTCTGTAACTCCAGTCCCAAGGGATCCAACAGCCTCTTCTTACCTCCGTGGGCATTGTACAACACGGGTGCACTGACCTACATGCAGGCAATACACTCATACACATAAAAAAACAACAACACTGCCACCATAATAGCAACAGCAGCAGCAATAATAACGTTAGTGGTGGCTCTCTTTGAATCCTAACCACATGACTATTTTGTCAATGGCAGAACTTGATGATTGCAAGCCTTCCGGCATGCTTGAGTTTAGGAGACTGCATTCCTACAGTGCTCACTAGATTATTCTGAAGTGGTTTGAGGCCTTGCTTTGTCTCCCTCAGAGCACTGCCATAGACACTTCAGACAGTTGCTTGCCCCCACCTAAGCATTCGTCCTATTATTTTATGTACTGGCTGTGCAAAAGAAGACAAAGGAAAATGTCAGGCCCATAGCCTACTTAGCATCAAAAGTGGAACCCAAGACTTTGAGAGATAGGGGTAGTTGGGTGATGAACACAGCCCCAGCAAGATGCAGGACACACCTGACCCATTATCCCTTAATTAGAACAATATCTGTTCTAGCTTCTCTAGTTGATTTCAGCACCATTCTTCTGTCATTTTGTTCTCAGAAATCTTAGAATGCTAGGATTAGAAAGACCTGGAGGTCAAGTCAGTGAAAAGGAAGCCATGTCTGAGATTTGGTGGCTGCCCCATTCAGCGTAACTAGACTGACACCTCCTGAAGGGAGCGCTACAGAATACTTGATTGTGTGATTCTTGACCTAGAGGGCTAAACAAAGTAGACCTTTGTTTTATTTTCTTGAAAAACACTATGGTATTGTTTTTTCTTGTTTCATATTAAATGTATATTTCCTTATATGCACCTTCATAGTCAAGAAGGAGGATGTGCAAAGAACCGGACACATTGGGTCCCCTCATTTTCCAGAAATAGTGAGGAGATGGATGGGAGCCTTCATGTCATAGAGCTTCTATTGCTCATGGATTTCATTGTTCATTTGTTGATTTTTGAGATAGAGCCTGAGCTTGTAAGCAGTCCTCCTGGTTCTGCTCCCAAATACTGAGATTACTGGAGTGCTCTAGCATGCCTCGCTTTTCATTTGAATTTTGAGCCATTTTCATGTAGCATCTATTAAAATTTAAGAATAGAATTTATTGCTACTGTTTATTTTTTTCTTTATTATTATTACTTGGTAATTTTTGAGACAGCATCTCCCTGTAGCCCCAGCTGGCCTGGAACTTGCTATGTAGACCAGGCCAGCCTTGAACTCAGAGATCCCTCTGCCTCTGCCTCTGCCTCTGCCTCCCAAGTGCTAGGATTAAAGATGTGCACCAGGCCAAGAATAGAATTTATAAGTAAATATGCTTATTGTTTTCATAGCTGTTGGCAGAGGTTCTATGGCACACTGTTAGGTTACAGAATATGGCTTTCTTAATGCTGCAACAATGTATAGACTCCTAAGGAGCAGCTTCCTGAGTGTTACAAAGTCAGTGATAGGAATGCTGAAAAACAAAGTAGCAAAACTGACTAGACATCTTCCTGGTAAAGACTTCAGTTTGTTACATTCTTTCCTCTGTCTGGATTCTAACCATTTTGTCTTTCTATCCTCTCCTACAGGCAGTATCACCAAGAAATAGAGGAGTTTGTATCAAATTTAGTAAAAAGATTTGAGGAACAGCAAAAAAATGATGTGGAAAAGACTTCCTTTAGTCTTTTACCCCAGGTATTTTAAATTTAAGACTTGAAGGCTATGTTTTTCACTGCTACCTTTGCTTGAATCAAAGCCAAAATGATGAAGATCATGCCTTCCCATATTCCACCTGGCTTTCTTTTGGTTGAGGCTCCTTTGGTCAGGGGTAGTCAAAACTGGCTACACCTGAAATTAGGGACTTTCTTCCCATTTCCTAACTTGTACACATGGTTTTAGGCAAAAATCTTAAGAGCAAATTTATACACATCAGGTTTGAAAGAGCTGACTTCTTGAACTAACAAGGTGGCTCAGTGGGTAGGAGCATTTAATGTGCACAAGCCAGAGTTGCAGAAACAAGAGATCCTGTCTCAGGGAAACTAAGCAGAGAGCAATATGAAAGCCATCCTGCCCCCCCATGCCCTACTCTGACCTATAGTCCCAGCACTTGGGAGGCAGAGGCAGGCGGATCTCTGTGAGTTCAGGCCAGCCTGGTCTACATAGTGAGTTCCAGGACACCTGGGGCTATAGGGAGACCTGTCTCAAAAAAAACAAAAATAATAATAATAATAAAATAAAAATTCATACTAGATGGTGTCTATTTAGGTATTTATTGTATATTTACTGCAGAATTTTGCAGTGGCTTGAGGTCTATAAGGTTATTGATACTGACCAGTAATATTAAGATACACATATTTTTAATCTTTCTGGTTATCTTTTTTTTCAAACTTACCATGCTAGTTTTGTTCTGGGGTTCATTTTTTGTTTGTTTGTTTGCTTTTGAGACAGGGTCTCACTATGTAGACCAGGTTGACCTCCACAGAGATCCACCTACCTCTGCCTCCTGAATGCTGGGATTAAAGGCATGCACCACTATGCCCGGCTAAGCATTGGATATCTTATTAACAATACTTATTAGCACAAAAGCTTTAACATTTTCTAATACATCAAAAGATGTAGTCTTTTTTATGTGTTTTTCAGTTTTCCAATTTGTGAAATATTACTAAATATTCTTACCTTCTAAACTCATTCTAATTATGACAAGGGCAAAGTCAGAATTTTTATGTCTTATTGATGTATATTAAGTGAAAGTTTGAAATTCTGTGTTGTTCCTAATGTGTTACTCTTTTGTAATGTGTTTCTCATTGTATTAGCCATCCAGTGTTGTGTTAGAAGAGGACCATAAAGTGGAAGAAGCATGTGACATTAAAAACAGCAAAGAAGCATTTAGTGTAAGTTTGGACTTTTTTTTTTTTTTTAATTCTGCAAGTGTTCTGTCAGTTCGGTAGCATTTAGATGATTAGGTGGTATGGTCATACATCATCATAGGATCACAGCATTTTTTGTTGGTGTTGTTATAAACAGCAACTTCATCCTGTAAACGTTATCATTTGCTCTTTAGTAGTTACTGCATTGTGCCATGAGGACACAGTTGATTTTCTTTGCAAGATTTGTCTTCATCTTAATCCGCCTCTTCATGCTTACCTTTAAGATTTGAATAAAAGATGGGCATGGTGGAGCAACACTTGGGAGGCAAAGGCAGGCAGATCTCTGTGAGTTCAAGGCTAGCCTGGTCTATATAGTGAGTTCCAGGCCACCTGGGGCTACAGGGAGACCCTGTCTCCAAAAGACCAAAAAAGAAATTGAATAAAGAAAAAGCACTTTTCCACTTCCAGGGATGGTGTTTTTAGGCGCTCAGAATGGTCTAGTGTTTGACAAACCATCGTAGGCTTTCCTACAACACAGCCTGTAACAAAACTAGGCTGTCCCGAACCCCTGGATTGTTTACCTTTATACCAAGAAGGTTGGGAAAGCACCAAAATCTGCATGTGGTGTGTGCCTGGGCAGACTTCAAGGGGTTCATGCTCTAAGACCTAAGTCCTCATGAGATTGTCCAAAACAAAAAAACATGTCAGCAGGGCCTATGGTGGTTCTCTGTGTACTAAATGTGTTGGTGACAGGATCAAGCGTGCTTTCCATATTGAGGAGCAGAAAATCATTATGAAAGTGTTGAAGGCACAAGCACAGAGTCAGAAAGCGAAATAACCATGAGGTTTTTCTAAGTCATAAAAACCACAGCTTGTTCTATTAAAAAAAAAAAAAAAAAAAAAAAAAAAAAGCCAGGCATAGTAGCACATGCCTTTAATCCCAGCACTTGGGAGGCAGAGGCAGGTGGATCTCTGTGAGTTCAAGGCCAGCCTGGTCTACATAGTGAGTTCCAGGACAGCTGGGGCTACAGGAAGACCTGTCTCAAAAAGACCAAAAAAAAAAAAAAGTTTAACAGGGAAAACCTACATTTAGGCCTTTCCAGTACCTTTGCAAAATTCATTGGTATCAAATCATTTTTACAGCTTTAAAAATATATATATATCCACCCTCACCCCAAAGAAAAAGGTGGTATTAGTCTTGGATTCTATTAAAGGAAGACTGGTTTTCGTGCTGTTGTCCCCTGCTGGTAACCCTAATTTTAAAGACATAAATCTATTGCAAAGACTTGAAAGGAATCCTGTATCCCAATAAACTCAGCAGTAGTTGCTGAGTTTATTGCACTCACATTTTATTGCACTCAGTTTATCACACCACATAGAATAACAAAAGCTAGGCTGTGAGTATGGCTCAGACAGAACACTTAGCTAACATGTGTGATGTCCTGGGTTTCATCTGGAACACTGCAAAAAATTATAAAGTTTTTCTTGTTTTTGTTTCTAGTTGGGGAGCTCATTTTTTATTACATTTATTTATTTGTTTGTTTATTTTTTTAAATTTGAATGTGTGTGCATTTGTGTGCGTACATGCACCATAGCACATATATGGAGGTCAGAGAACAGTATTCAGTAGTTTCTCTCCTTCCGCTATGTGGGTCCTGGATATTGAAATCTGGATGTCAGCCTTGGCAAGTGACTTAACCCTCTGAGCTATCTCACTGGCTCTGATTCTATGTTTAATGAGACAAGGACTCATTCTGTAATCTAGGTTATCCTCAAACTTACAGCAGTTCTCCTGCCTTAGCTTTTGAAATGCTGGAATTACAGGAATTAACCACCATACCTGGCTTAAAGAAAGATTGCTGAATTTAACTAGGAAACTTTCATTTCTCTTCCAACTTAAAAGTTATAGGATTTAAAGTGACATTTGCCTAGAAATTGAGAATTTGCTATGTTTATCAGTTTAGCCCTTGTACAAATACTATTGTTACTGAATGCTGCTTTGTGCATAGGTTCCAAAGACATGGCAATGGAAAAAAAAAAGGGGGAGGGGGGGTGGATAAAGTCCAGGTCCTGTTTAAATAACAGTTTAGTGGAAGATGTAGTGCTTTTAAAAAAACTGAGAACTGGTGGCACATGCCTTTAATCCCAGCACTTGGGAGGCAGAGGCAGGCAGATCTCTGTGAGTTCAAGGCCAGCCTGGTCTCCATTAGAAAATCCAGGCCAGCTGTGGCTACAGGGAGACCTTGTCTCAAAAAAGACCAAAAAAAAAAAAGAGAGAGAGAGAGAACTGGGGATATAGACCAGTGGTAATGTGCTTGCCTAGTATGCATGAGACTCTGGGTTCAATCCTCAGTACTGAATAAATATATGTGTGTGTCTGTGTGTGTGCATGTGAGTGTGTGGATGGATGGATGCATGGATATGGCAGGATGCTACTTGGGAGGTTGAGGCAAAAAGATTGAAATTTTAAGACCTATACAGAATAAATTCAAGGGCAGCCTAGGTAACTTAGTGAAGTCCTACCTCTATAAGTAAAGAAAGGCCTGGGCATACAACTCAGTTGTATACTTATACTTGCCTAGCATATATAATGCCCTGAATTCAGTCCCCAGTACTGCTGGGTTTGTGGGAGTGGGGTGATGATAGAGTAACTGTGGGGTGGGTGATTTGACGTTTTGGTTGTTAGCCTTAGCCTTTAACGGCTGTGCCATCCCTCCAGCTCAGTGGTGGGTGATTTGAATAGTGAGTTGTTGGTGACAACCTGTGTAAGCCAAGGTCTGGATGAATTTGAGGGAGTAAGTGAGGCTGAATTTTGAGTGAGGTATACTCAGAGGGTAAATAGAAAAGAGAATTAGACCTCCCAGAGCAGCAGCCAGCACTCAGATTACTTCTGTATAGCCAGTGCTGTTAGGTAAGTTCTAAGCTCATTATGGGTAATACTCATGAAGGCACTGTTCCCATTTTACAGAGGAGGAAATACAAGGAAAGTTAAGTGACTTACCAGTGGGAAAGTGACAAAACCATGGTTTCAGACCCAGCCTCCCAGATTCTAGAGCATATGATTTATATCCTTACATTGTCTTATAAAACATAGTAAAAGCTTCAGATTCTAGTCTAAGATTGAAACCATTTGAGGATCTGTAGTGAAAATGGCATTCAGTGACTTGAAGAACTAGAACTGTGCTCTCTATGGAAAGTAGATGTCAGCAGCTGCTGCCTGTAGAAGCCAGCAAGAAAACTATTGTGGCCGGGCATGGTTGTGTAGGCCTTTAATCACAGCACTCGGGAGGCAGACGCAGGAGAATCTCTATGAGTTCGAGGCCAACCTGGTCTATAGTTCCAGGTCAGCTGGGTCTGTAGGGAGACCCTGTCTCAAAAATACCCAAAAGAGAGAGAGAGAGAGCTATTGTGTAATCCTACAGGAGAAAATGGTAGCCGAGACCACAGTGCTAGTAATGGTGGTGTGTGCTTAGAGCCTAGATATTCTTGGGAAGTCATACTAATCAAATGTGTTCATGACTTGGATGCAGAACAAGAGAGTTCTGTATACTGGCCAGGCATAGTGGTGGCATGCCCCCTTTACTCCCAGCACTTGGGAGACAGGGGCAAGCAGATCTCTGTGAGATCAAGTCCAACCTGTTCTACATAGCTCATTCCAGGCCAGCTGGGGCTACAGGGAGACCTTGTCTCAACAAAAAAAAGACAAAAAGAAAATGAGTAGAGCAGCCCAGGAAGCTGGAAGACTGTTATTCCCTTACTCCCTTTCTGTGGTGGAAAGTGCAGAAGAGCAGGAGGTTTGGAGGTGGCTGGGAATTTGTTGTCATTTTGTTTTGGGTTTTTTCTGTTGTTGCTGCTGTTGTATTTTGGAGACAGGGTCTTGCTGTGTAACCCAGACTGGCCTTGAATTTGTGATCCTCTTATCTCAGCCTCTCAAGTGCTGGAATTCAACACAGATGCCACCACACCCAACTTCCGGTGCCATTTTAAAGCTATCTTACATGTCCAGAGAGGTGTCATGTTGGCACTTGAATATCCAATTAAGAAAGGATCAGAGCTTACTTTGGGGGGTATCAATATAGAAATTATATTTTATACTCTCCTTGGGTCTAGGTGACTCACCCAGGAAGTAACAGTAAAAATGACTAAGGACTGAGCTTTATGGCACTCTAATCTATAGAACATGGAGGAATCAAGGGGGGAAAAGACTTTTGGTCCATAAGGCAGCAAGAGAACTGAAAGAGTGGTGTCATTGCTAATGGGCTGAGTGAGGCAGCTGCCCATTGACTTAGGCTGCAGGGAGGTCCTTGGGTAGCTCCTTCCTTAAGCACCTAGGCAAGAATAATGCATCACTGGAGATGTTCTAGGGAGAGTGGCAGTGTCATTGAAGATAGGGAGGGGCATGTTCTAGATAAAAGAGACTATAGAGATAAACATTTAAATATAACATAAGAACCTTATAGGAAAAATCCTGCTTGGGGAAAACTATAAAAAGCTTTTTTTTTTTTTTTTTTTTTTTTTGGTATTTTTGAGACAGAGTCTCCCTTGTAGCCCCAGCTGGAACTCGCTGTGTGAGATTAAAGGCATGCGCCATCACACCTAGCCTATAGAAAGCTTTTTAAGGTAAAGAAACATGAATGTAGAATAGATATGAATGATATTAGGGTTAGTGGTTTTCTTAGGCATCACACATGAATTGTAGTTTTTGGGAAAATATTCTTCATACTGAAGCATTTAAGAATGAATAAGTGTCAGGCGGGCATGGTGGCACACGCCTTTAATCCCAGCACTTGGGAGGCAGAGGCAGGTGGATCTCTGTGAGTTCAAGGCCAGCCTGGTCTACATAGTGAGTTCCAGGACAGCTGGAGCTACAAGGAGACCCTGTCTCAAAAAGACCAAAAAAAAAAAAAAAAAAAAAAGAGTAAGTGTCATGATGTCTGCAATTGATTCAGATAGCTAAATAAAACATGTGTGCATGCACAGGCACATGCATGTACACATAAAGAGTCATGCTCAGAGGAGTATTGGGCTGTTAACATTTATTCATTATAGGTGAACGGTACGTGAATATTCATTGTGCTTTTTTTTCCCAACTGTCTATGAAATTTCTGCAAAAACTCAGATGGAAAAGAATATGGTAAATGGGAACAAAGGAAATAGAAACAATAAATGTAGGATGTAAGGGTCTTGCTGCACACAAATGGGGTACTGGAGGGACTCGTGAGAGTTGAAGCTTCTGTTTAAGAAAGAACAGTTGATAGTAATGATCCAATACAGAGGAAAAACTCGGGTCTAGCTTTTATTTGCACATCAGAATTTGGCTCCTGTTAACTAGGGCATTATTTCTAATAGCTTCATCCAAAATCAGATTGTTAACATAGGTAATTATAGACTTAACATTACTTAATGTCTTTTTTTTTTCTGCTTAAATAGCAATATTTTTTGACTTGTTTTCTGCAGGTTGTAGGAAGTGTCCTGTATTTTACTAATTTTTGCCTTGATAAATTGGGGCAACCGCTACTAAATGAAAACCCTCAGCTTACCGAAGGATGGGAAATACCCAAGTATCCTACATAGTGAATGAAGATCTTTTATGCATCTTGCCACTAAGTTCACCTTTAAAAAAGCTTACCAAATTTTGCAGACTATGATAACTATTCCTTAATAAAATTCACTAAAGGTACCAGCAAGTCTTCAGCCACATTGTTTCTCTAGAAGGGCAAGAAATACAAGTAAAGGCAAAAAGGTTTGTGTGGGGAGTTGTTTTGTTTTACTCTTTTTGTTTTTTAATAACAAAACAATAAACTCTTTTCCAACTCTGGAAGTTAATATCTTTATTGCTGGTTTAATATAAATTACAGATTGAACTAGAATCCTGATACCTAAAGGTATATATTAAATGTTTAAATTGATCATTTCTTAGAATTCATTGGTTCACACCCAATGTGCCTGGGAGGGTGGAAAGAAGTCATTATTGCTGTCGGTGTGATTACTGTCTTATAACCATCTGCCTTCTTACCTAAAGGAAACTTCATAATCTGTTTGCTTTGATTCTTCTGTTATTAACCACTGAAAAAAGTCAGGAGGTAACATATTCAGGAACAGAATGGTCTTGCTTAAAAGACTACATAGTGCTGCTTAAGTAACTGAGTCCAAGAGACATCGATGTGCTCCTTACTGCAGATAGTGGTCCACTGGCTTTCTTGTGGCTCTAATACTCTGCTGACATCTAGAATTTTATTGATTTGCTTTTATGTATTCATTTACATTATGAAAATCTTTGGGTTTCTGTTTTGTTTTGTTTTTTGACTTAATAGGCCAAAGCCTCACTGTTTCAATTGTGGTTCTGAAGAACATCAAATGAAGGAGTGTCCAATGGTAAATTTCTCTCCTTTAAAAAACATCTCTGAACAGAGCTTGTTGACAGATGTTCCATGTTGTGGTGCTGTATGATGTGACAAGCCTCCTTTGCTGCTCCCATTTGTGCTTTAACTTCACCTTTCAAATTTATATTTTTAGACATTGGATTTTTTTTAATATTTTATTTATTATTATTTTTATTTTATGTGTACGAGTGTGTTACCTGCATGTATGTGAGTGCACCCATGTCGTTCAATGCCGTGGAGGTCAGAAGAGGGCTTCGGATTCCCCTGGAACTGGAGTTAAGGACAGACCATAGCCACCATGTGGGTGCTGGGAATTGAACTGCTGGGAATCGAACCCGGGTCCTCTGTAAGAGCAGTCAGTGCTCTTAACCACTGAGCCAACTCTCCAGCCCAACATTGGATTTTTTTAATATTTATTATTTTTATTTTATGCGGGCATTGGATTTTTTTAAGAAAATAACTCAGTGCTCTGTATGTGAGATGAATGAAATGAGATAATTAATTTTTTGACAGTTATTCTAAAAGTTAATTTTAGGTTCTAATAATACTAAGAGTTAAAATTTTTAAGTGATTGCATGTCCTTGCTTTTCAAAAATGTGTGCCCTGTTTTTTGCTTATCATATGCATTAAAACTAAAACAATCTGTTTGCTTTACATTTTTTAGAAGTCAGTATTCTTGCCGGGCGTGGTAGTGCATGCCTTTAATCCCAGCACTCGGGAGGCAGAGGCAGGCAGATCTCTGTGAGTTCAAGGCCAGCCTGGTCTACATAGTGAGTTCCAGGCCAGCTGGGGCTACAGGGAGACTCTGTCTCAAAAACAACAACAACAACAACAAAAAAAAAAAGTCAGTATTCTTACATATCTGAGCTATTCTGAATTTCTTTATACCATTCTTTTCAAACATTATGATTTAGCCTCGGAATGCTGCTCGAATAAGTGAAAAGAGAAAAGAGTATATGGATGCCTGTGGTGAGGCAAACAGCCAGAATTTTCAGCAGCGATACCATGCAGAGGAAGTAGAAGAGAGGTTTGGAAGATTCAAGCCAGGCGTCATTAGGTACTTCTGTCCTTTACCAGTGGATGTCATTTCATTTTCTTATTTGGTGCATGTTGTGTCTCTTCAGGGTGACTATCAGAATATAAGTGTTCCATAACAAAGTCTGCGTAGCATGCATCAGTTTCTTCAGACCTATTTATTGAAGTCTTACTGAGTGCTTGTTACATGCCATATTTAATGCTATGTGATGTGGGACAGAAAGGTTTAGCTGGGTATGATGGCTCATGCCTGTAATCCCAGCTCTTGGGAGGCAGAGGCAGGCAGATCTCTGAGTTCAAGGCCAGCCTGGACTACATAGTGAGTTCCAGGATAGCTGGGGCTACAGGGAGACCCTCCTTCAAAAAGACAAAAAAAAAAAATTAAAAAAAAAAATAAAATAAAATAAAAATATATATACTGGGAGTGGTGGTACAGACCATTAGTCCCAGCACTCAGGAGGCAGAGGCAGGTGGATCTCTGAGTTTGAGGCCACCCTTGTCTACATAGTGAGTTCCAGGCCAGCTAGGGCTACAGTGAGACCTGTCTGAAAAAACATAAAACTGGGCTGGAGAGATGTCACAGCAGTTAAGAGCATTGACTGCTCTTGCAGAGGACCCGGGTTCAAGTCCCAGCACCTACATGACAGCTATGAACCATCCTTAACTCCAGTTCCAGGGGAATCTGTAGACCTCTTCTGACCTCCGCGGCATTGTACAACATGGGTGCACTCACATACATGCAGGCAATACACTCATACACATTAAAAAAAAATAATATATTTAGGGCTAGGTGTGGTGGCACACACCTTTAATCCCAGCATTTGGGAGGCAGAGGCAGGCAGATCTTTGTGAGTTTGAGGCCAGCCTGGTCTACATAGTTCCAGGACAACTGGAGCTACAGGGAGACCCTGTCTCAAAAAGACAAAAATAAATAAATAAATAAATAAATAAATAAATAATAATAATAATAAATTTTTAAAAACACAAAACAAAAAAATACCAAAATACTGTTTTCATGCAAATCAGAGTTCATCCTTTTTTCCTCTTTATTTTTACTTAGTGAGGAACTTCAAGATGCATTGGGTGTGACAGACAAGAGTCTACCCCCTTTTATCTATCGGATGCGCCAGCTCGGATACCCACCAGGCTGGCTCAAGGAAGCGGAATTGGAGAATTCAGGGCTTGCACTCTATGATGGAAAAGGTGTAGTATGCTAGGTTAAATGTCTTTAATGTCAGCTTAAATGTCTTTTTTTTTTTTTCTTCAAAGAATCATTAGCTGGTTATAGTGGCACATGCTACAGAGTGAGACCCTGTTTGTCTGTCAGTCTTTATCACTATATCCTGTTTGTTTCTTTTATAGTCTACTATAATTTGTATATATTTATTTTTAAATATTCTGTTTTTCTTGATATTACTGCTTTTTTACAACTGGATTATAAATTTTATAGCTGCTAAAAATCTGTCTTTTAGTCACCAGTATATGCCTTACCATATAGCACTTTACCCAGCACATGGTAGGTATGTACTTCTTTTAAATTTATTTTTTGTATATGAGTGTTTTACCTACATGTATATTTTTGCATCATGTGTGCTGTGCCCATGGAAGGCAGAACAAAAGTATTAGGTGCCCTAGAACTGGCATTACAGATGGTTTTGAACTACCATGTGGGTGCTAACAACTGAACCTAGGTCCCCTCTCTAAGAATAGGAAGTGCAGCCGGACGTGATGGTGCACACCTGTAGTCCCAGCACTTGGGAGGCAGAGGCAGGTGGATCTCTGTGAGTTCAAGGACAGCTGGGGCTACAGGGAGACCCTGCTTCAAAAAGACAAAAAAAAAAAGAATAGGAAGTCCTCTTAACCAATGAGCCATTTCTCCAGCCCTGAATGTGTAGAACTTTCTAAGATTTTTGGGGGGGGGGCGGGGGATGGTCTCCCAGAACTCATTATGTGGACCAGGCTGGCCTTGAACTCATAGAGATCCACCTGCCTCCGCCTCCCAGTGCTGGGATTAAAGGCGTGCGCTACCATGCCCAGCTAAGATTTTTTTTTTCAATTATGTGCATGCATGTATGTTTATGTGGGGGTTGTATATATGAGTGCAGATGCCTCCCACATAGGCCAGAAAGGGCATCCAATCCCCTAGAGCTAGAATTAAAGGTAGTTGTGAGCTACCCAGTATGGGTTTTAGGACCCAAACTTGGGTTCTCTGGAACGGCAACACTCTTAACTGTTCAGCCATTTCTAGTTCCCCAGTAGGTAAAAATTTTAAATTAGGAAACCAGGCATGGCAGCACACATTGGTCATTCCATTGCCTCAGGAAGGTGGGCAGAAGGATCAGGAGTTAAAGAGCAGCCTTGCAACCCTTTCTCAAAAAAACAAAAAAAATTTAATGATTAAAAATAAACATGTAATGGGTCTAGAGAGATGGCTCAGCTGTTAAGAACACTAACTGCTCTTGCAGAGGACCCGGGTTCGATTCCCAGCACCCACATGGCAGCTACAAACCGTCCTTAACTCCAGTTCCAGGGGAATCCAAAGCTCTCTTCTGACCTCGACATTGCACACACAGGTGCACTCACATACATGCAGCAAATACACTCATACACATAAAAAAAATAAACATGTAACTAGGGCCAGCAAGATGGCTTAGCATGTAAAAATGTTTGCTCCACAACCCTTACACCCTGAGTTCAGTCCCTAGAACCCATGTAAAAAAGCCAGATGGAGTGGTGCACATCTGTAAGGCCAGTGATAGAATTGCCTGGGTGCAGCTTCTTGGCAGAAATGACATGAAAAACCCTCCCCCCAAAACAAGATGAAACCAGGCATGCCCTTATCATGCCCTTAATCCCAATATTTCGGAAGCAGAGGCGGGGGATCTCTGTGAATTTGAGGCCAGCAAGGGCTTCAAGGAGACCGTGTCTCAAAAAGACCAAAAAATAAAAGATGGAAAGAAGGGAGTTGAGGCTTCAGAGATGGTTCAGCAATTAAGAGCACTTCCTGCTCTTGCAGAGGACCTGAATTCCATTCCCAGCACCCACATGGCAGCTCAAAACCATCTATAACTCCAGTTCTAGGGGTTATGATCCCCTCTTGTGGCCTCTTTGGGCACCAGGCATGAATGTCCTACACATACGTGCAAGCAAAAGACTTATGCACATAAGATAAAATTAAATCTTTTTTTTTTTTTTTTTTTTTTTTTTTTTTTGGTCTTTTTGAGACAGGGTCTCCCTGTAGCCCTAGCCAGCCTGGATTCACTATGGAGACCAGGTTGGCCTCAGACTCAAAGAGATTCTCAGCCTCTGCCTCCCAGTGCTGGGATTAAAGGCGTGTACCACCACACCTGGCAAAATTAAATCTTTAAAAAAATAGCAGCTGGGTGTGGTGGTGTATACCTTTAATCCCAGCAGAGGCCAGTGGATCTCTGAGATCAAGACCAGCCTGGTCTACATAAAGAGTTCCAGGCCAGCTGTGGCTACATGGAGACCCTGTCTCAACAACAAAAGAGATGGAGGGCCAGAAAGATGGCTCAGTGGGTAAAAGCACTGAATTTAATCCCTGGGTCCCAGATGGTGAAAGGAGCAAACCAGTTCCTTCAAGTTGTCCTCTGACTTCTACATGTATGCCATGGCACACCCATACACATACATGCACATACACATAAATAATGTTTAAAATTTTTACTTTATTTTTAAATTTATTTTTATGTGTGTTATGCCTGCATGTATGTAAAGTGTACTTGTGTCATGCAGCACCCACAGAGGACAGAAGAGGTCATTGTATTCCCCTAGAACTGGACTTATAGATGGTTGTTAGCCACTATCCAGGTGCAGGGATTCAAACCAGGTCTTCTGCAAGAGCAGCCAGTGCTCTTTACTGCTCAGCCATCTCTCAAACCCCTAAAGTTAATTTTTCTTTTTATTTTATGTGTGTGAGTGCTTTGCCTGCACGTGTATAAGTGCACCTGTGTTGTGTAATGCCAGTGGAGGCCAGAAGAGAATATCAGATCCCCTGAAACTAGAGTTACAGTTGTTAGCTGCCATGTGGGTGCTGGGACCCAAACTTGGATCCTCTGCAAAAAACAAATGCTTTTAACTACAAGGCATCTCTCCCGCTCTCAATTTTTTTTTCCTTCTTTATTTTTTATTTTTATGTGAGTGAGTGTTTTGCCTGTGTGTATGTAAGTACACCCTTGTGTGCAGTACACATGGAGGCTTCTCAGAAGAGTGCACCAGATTCCTCTGAAACTGGAGTTATGGATAGTAGCCATGTGAATATTGGAAACTAAACCCAGATCCCTCTGCAAGAGCAACCAATGCAACTCTTAACTGCTGAGCCATCTCCCGGCTGAGACCCCTCTCTTTAAAACTGAACAAGTGAGGGGCTGGAGAGATGGCTCAGCAGTTAAGAGCACTGACTGCTCTTGCAAAGGACCCGGGTTCAATTCCCAGCACCCACGTGGCGGCTATGAAACCGTCCTCAACTCCAGCTCCAGGGGAATCTGAAGCCCTCTTCTGACCTCTGGGGCATTACACAACACGGGTGCACTCACATACATGCAGGCCATACCCTCATACACATAAAAATAAAAAAATAAACAAGTGATTATAGTCACATCCCTATGGTCCCAGAACCTGGGAAGTAGAAGCATAAAAGGAGCTTAACATCATCCTTGGCCCCATAGTACGTCTAAGCCCAAATTATTATTATTGTTATTATTATTATTGATCTTTTTGAGACAGGGTCTCCTGTAGCCCCAGCTGACCTAGAACTTGCTGGGTAGACCAGGTTAGCCTCAAACTCAAAGAGATCCACCTGCCCCTGCCTCTGGAGTGCTGGGATTAAAGGCCTGTACCACCACACTAGGGCAAGCCCCAATATTTTAATAAAAGGAGAAGCCCAACTTCTAAAAAGCTGTCTTCTGACCTCCATAGGCATACCTTGACGTCCACATATCTACCCCCACTCAGTCTCTCACATATACACACAAGCACATGCATGAACCAAACTCAGCTATGATTATGATTAAGTTAAAGTCTTTTGTTTTCATACAGTTACATGGCTTAGGTAAACATGCTTGCTGCCCAGCCTGATGACCTGAATTTGATCTCCAGGATCCACATGGTAGAATCAGCTGCCTCATACTGTTTTCTGACCTCCATATATCTACCATGCATGACACACACACATATACAAAGTAAATAAAAATAATAAGAAAAAAAATTTTTAGCTGGCTTTAGTTATATTTTTAACATTCTAAATGTTTGCTTTTTGGAAACAGGGTCTATATGTTGCCCAAGCTGGATTCAGACTTGCTAGGTAGCCCAAGCTTACCTTGAATTTACTGTCATCTTGCCTCAGCTTCCTGAGTTCTTGCCTAGCTCTAAATGTCTCCTAAGTGAAAATGTTTCTATATATTACTTAGGTATTTAAAAATAAAATAAAAATGTTTGAAAACAAACTCAATGCCACTCCTTCCCAGGTAGTACCAAAAGATACTTGGCTTAATCTGTTTGGTGTAGTATTCAAATTGTTACTGTTCCTGTTTCCTATTCTGTTGTTTTTCTCTCCTTTTTGATTTTTTTGGTTTGGGTAGGTTTTTTGAGGGAAGTGGGGGTTGAGACAGCTTGGAATTTGCTAAGTAGACCAGGCAGGCCTGGACTCACAGAAACCCTCCTTCCTCTGCCTCCCAAGAGCTGTGGTCAAAGGCGTGTGACATCATGCCTGACACTTTTTTGATTTTTGACTTCCTTCTTGTGTCTTTTGCTGAGCTGGGGATGACACCCAGATCCATGCCTGCACTAAAGTTTATAGTCTTTCACTGAGCTATGTCCCCAGCCCTATTTTACTGCTTTGTTTTTTAGTTTACTTGTTTAAATAGAGATACTTTGATTAAAAGACACTGGATGATTTTGTCTGTTACATCTTCCTTGAGATAGAATCTCTAGCCCAGGCTGATCTGGAACTTGGTATTAGGTAAGACTGCCCTCAAACTCCTGATCCCTATACCTCAGCCTCCCAAATTCTGGGATTATAGTTTACCAGACCCAACACCTGTTTAAAAGTTCTTATAGTTCGCGAAAACTATAATAGTCATTCCCAGACTAATTCAGTTAAAATATCTAAGCACTTTCCATATATGTGTCTGGTGTGGGGAGGAACATATTTTAGTGTCTCACCATATTAACACTTTTGCTGTTTTCTAATAGATGATGCTGATGGAGAAACAGAAACTGGAGAAATACAAAATAAAAATGTCACTTATGATCTCTCAAAATTGGTAAACTATCCAGGTTTTAATATATCTACTCCCAGAGGCATTCCAGATGTAAGTTTGGTTTTTTATTTTGTTTGTTTTTGTTTTTTTTTACTTTTTTTCCTAAAATTTGATATTGTTATATTAGTGACTGTTCAGGATATTAACCTATGTAGCAGTTTCTTACATGAAGAAGTGAATTTGTAGCTAGTCATAATGGTGCACACCTATAATCCTAGCACTTGGGAAGTGGAGGCAAGAGAATCAGGAGTTCAGGACTACCTTTTACTATGCAGTACGTTCAAAGCCACCCTGAGCTCCAGGATACCCTGCATCAAAAACAAAAATGGCTAAGAGTGGTGGCGCAGGCCTTTAATCCCCGCACTTGGGAGGCAGAGGCAAATGGAGCACTGTGAGATTAAGGTCAGTGAGTTCCAGGCAAGCTGGGGCTATAGGGAGACCCTGTCTCAAAAGAAAACAAAAACAAAAACAGGGTCTTTCATGTAGCCCAGGCTGTCCTTGACCTCCTGATCCTCCCTCAATCCCCAAATGGTAGAGTTATAGGTGTGTGCATGTACATGCTGCTCTATCTAGCTTATGTGGGTTCTGGGGATCCAAATTCAGGTTATCAGCTTGTGTGGCAAGTGCCTTATCCACTAAGCCATTTCCCCAGCTCCTAAATTTAACTTTTTACCTTATTTTTTTAGTACTAGAGATTGAACCCAGAGCCTCATGATTGCTAGCCCCACACTGTCAGTGAGCTGCATCTCTAGCCCTGGTTTTTCTTATTAATGAGAATATGAAGTGGAAAATTATTTTTCTTAAATCATAGGTTTCTCTGATATACCCTAAGAAGCTAAGTTAGGGCCGAACTTGGTGGGGTACACCTTTAATCCCAGCACTGGAGAGGTGGTAGCAGGCAAATTTCCATGAGATTGAGACCAGCTTGGTCTGCATAACAAGTTCCAGGCCAGCTGGGGCTACAGGGAGACCCTGTCTCTAAAAAAAAAGACCAGGTATGCTTGCACACACCTTTAGTCCTAGCACTCGGGAGGCAGAGGCAGGTGGATCTCTGAGAGTTCAAAGCCAGCCTGGTCTACATAGTTCTAGGCCAGCAGAGGCTAAAGAGAGACCCTGTCTCAAAAAAGAAAATAAAAAGGTTTAGGTAGATTGATTAGGGTCTTTAAACAAAAATCTCGGCAACCTCAGTTGGAGTGCCTGCCTTTTAATCCCAGCTCTTGGGAGGCAGAGGCAGGTGGATCTCTGTGAGATCAAGGCCAGCCTTGTCCACATAATGACTCCCAGGTGGGCTTGGGACTAGGGAGACCCTGTCAAAAAAAACCCTACAACTATTATAAAAAATTTTTTTTTTCAATTTGGCATGATTGCTTAGGTAATATTACAAGGGTTTTTTTTGTTGTTGTTTGTTTTGTTTTTGTTTTTGTTTTTTTGTTCTTTTTGAGACAGGGCCTCCCTGTAGCACCAGCTGTCCTGGAACTCACTATGTAGACCAGGCTGGCCTTGAACTCACAGAGATCCACCTGCCTCTGCCTCCCGAGTGCTGGGATTAAAAGCGTGCACCACCACGCCCAGCATAATACAAGTTTTATGGGTATTTACTTACAAAGTAGAGGCCCTGTGAGAGACTGTCAGTGCTGCCTAGAATTGCCCACAGTAGGTAGAAGAGCCTTTTGGGGCCAAGCAGGTTTGTCAGTTTTGTTAAATAGTTTTTCAGTATCTGGTCCTTATTTTGCAGACAGGCATTGTTGGAGTGTTTTGGTTTGGTTTGGTTTTTTTCCTTCAACACAGTTAATTTCTAGGAAAGGAAAAGTCATATAAGAAACAAAAATGTAATTCAAGATCCCTACTTTTTCTCCTTTGAGCAAAATCTCAAAAAGCTGCTTTCCAAGTTCACATTTTTCCTTCTTTTTTCCACGTTAGGAATGGAGAATGTTCGGTTCCATACCAATGCAGGCATGTCAGCAAAAGGATGTGTTCGCTAATTACCTTACTTCTAACTTCCAGTCGGTAAATAGAATTTTTGTTGTGTGTGATGCTGGGACTTGAACCTAGGACTGACTACATATGCTACAAAAACACTCTACCTCTGAGCTATAGTCTGAGCCCCAGTAAATAGATTTTAAGACTTTAGACAGTAAACATTTGTGGCATATAGCAATGAGATTTTATGGCTCATTAGTACTTCTGTCCTTTCGTGGTTTGTATTGTAAACACTGATTTCTGATGAGTCAAGAGGCAAACGAGCTGAATTTAGTAGTTATTTGGCTCCAGGTTGGTTTGTAAGCCATATTTAAGTTCAGGCTGGAGTTCTCTGCCTGCCTTATCTAACTTGTGTTCTTTTGGGTTACTCCTTTAGCCATGCTTGAAGTTTGGCAGCAAGCGGTCTTCATCTCAGTCCAGCCCTAGTAGTCCAAAGAAGCAGAAGAAGGAAGGTGGCTCAGCAGCCTCCCCTGCCGACATGGAGCTTGACTCAGGTAGGCTTTGTAGTTTTGATGTCTTGAGAAAGCAGGATAAGCCTGTGTGGTCCCAAGTCCATAAAGAGAGTGAAGCTCCCCATTCTTAGCTAGCAGTGTTGCCACTATCACTGGCAAAAGCTGAATATGAAGCCACACTTGGTGTGAGAGGCATGTGGGCTAGCTAGGTGTATCCCTGAGTTTGGCAGGCTCAGACACCCAACAGTGCCACAGCTAGGCTGGCTTCTCTAAATGGGGCACCACTCTGAGACAAGCAGCACAATGCATTTGCTTTTCTGGCAGCTCCAGGCCCTAGCAAGACAGAATTGACCCATTAACTGTTATCTTCATAGGCATATTAATCCTATGTCATTCCTCCCCAGGAGGCCATGAAGAAAGCTGTACTCCTGAAAACTCAAAATGGGGCAAAGCCTTGCCCTCTGACATTCCTCTGGCCTTTTGTTCTTTGTCCCTGTGCACTTTCCCAGGGAACCTATGTTCAACCAGGATCATGGTGGTCTTTCTGAGCAGATCAGTGAGAGATCAGGAAAATCTAGTTCCTCTATGGAGTCCTCTAACCCAGCCCAGCCACTGCTCCATTAGGCTTCCCTGGAACTCTGATTCATAAATTAGGTAAACTCTAGGGCCACTCTGAATCCAAGGCTAAAAATGTTTTCCATCTCAAAATAGGCCTAGCTAATTTTATCCTATATAGCAAGACAGATGGCCCAACATGAAATGATGTGGCAACATTGTGATAAAATGCATAAAGATACTGTAATAATTGGGCCAGAGTTGCAGCTCTGGTAGAGCTCATACTTAGCATATTCAAGGCCCTGGGTTCAAACCCCAGCACTGACCAAAAAAAAAAAACTGTAAGTAAGATACAAATAGTATACTTTACCCCAAATTTGAATGTGAATGCTCCTTATTTTCAAATTTCTAGGGAGAACTTAAAGGTTATGGATTAAATTCCCTGAAAGTTCAAAATTAATGATTTTGCAGAAGTCCATAATCAGCTAGGCTTGGTGGTATAGGCCTCTAGTCTGGCACTTGGGAAACAGGCAGGAAGAGTGTGAATTGAAGGCCAACCTGGGCTACATGGCAAAACCCTGTTTTGGAAAAAAGCCAACCAAACTGCTAAATGCCTCATCATCTCAGCCGCAGGCCGTAGATACCATGCCAACAGGGGTTTAGAACCAACACTTGCAGCCTTACTATTTTCCAACCTGACGGGGTTTTTTTGTTTTTGTTTTTTCCCTTTTAATTTGTGGGGTGGGTTGGTTGATTGGTTGTTTTTGAGACAGGGTCTCCTGTAGCCCAGGCTAGCCTCAAACTTATTATGTAACCCAAGCTGACCTCACACTTACAGCAGCAGTTCTCCTGTATTAGCCTTCCAAGTCCTGGGATCACAGGAATGATCCACCATGCCTGGCTCTCTAATTTTATTTTGAACAAGGTCATAGAGTTAATAGGGAACCAAATTATGATAGTCTATGATTGAGGAGGGAAATCAGGGCAGGGACTCAGGGCAGAAATGTGGAGGCAGGAACTGAAGCATAGACCATAAAGGAACGCTACTTGCTTCCCTTGGCTTGCTCAGATGCCTTTTATTTATTTATTTTTTTAAAAACTTTTAAGAAAACTTTATTGAGAATTTCATACATTCATATAAGGTGTTTTGATCAAATCCACACCTACTTCCTCCCCTCCAACACCTCCTATATCTTCCCATCACTTTTTTCTGACAACATTCATGTATTCCTTCTTTTCTTTTTGGTCTTTTTGAGACAGGATCTCCCTGTAGCACCAGCTGTCCTGGAACTCACTATGTAGACCAGGCTGGCCTTGAACTCAGAGATCCGCCTGCCTCTGCCTCCCTAGTGCTGGGATTAAAGGCGTTCGCCACCACGCCCGGCTCTTTCTTTCTTTTTAATGGGCCTTTTTGCTACTCTTAACATCTATCCATTCCCTCCCAACCACCAAGAGGTAACCCTAAAATCTTTAGGGGTTAAATAAGAGAAATGATGTGGCAACATTGTGTTCAACCAGGATCTTTTGCCGCTTTTGGCCTTTGGAACAGAGTATGTTGCTAAGAGGCCCAAGGACATTTTGACTTTTAACCAAGAAACTGGCTACTTTTCTTTGGGGTCTTTTTACCCTAACTGCCTAGCCAATTCCTACCTTCTCTTCTCATCACACCATCCTCTGATGAGGTTGCCCAAATTGCTGATAGGGAATCGAGACACAGACTGCTCTGGCTTCTTCCATGCTGAACAGGGACACAGGGTGAGGCAATTGGGGTACCCCTTCAGTGGGTCTATCTAAAAGACTCCTACATTGCATAACTCTTATCTGTAGGAAGAAAGAGTCCTTGACTGGTGAATAGGGAATGTAAAGGAGAAGTAAAGGCAAGAGGCAAGAGTAGTTAGCATTACAAGTTCTAGACAGGGAACCAGAAAAAAGTTAGAACAGGGCAAATTTCAAATGTTCTTATCAGCAAGAGCTTCCAAAAGCATCCCTCTGTTGGGTTCCTCCTCATTTTTCTTTTGTCTGCCAAGGCTGGACTCGAGAGTGAGACTCAGGATTTGTTTTCAGGTACTTTGATAGCTGTTGGAGTGGCTAGAATCAGTGTCAAACAAAGACATATGTTCTCCCTCATTTGTGGATCCTAGCACCAAATCCTTTTATATTCCATGTTCTTTTAATAAGATGATGCTGTACAGCAGTCTCTTCTGTGTGAAATAACTACCATCATCAGGACTTCAGCTGTGCCTGCTTGCTAAACATCGTCACAATTGGGCTTGTTGACAGTTGTGCTCCTTCATTAAAGGAGGGGCAAGCAGGGTCAATGGACCCTTACCAGAGTATCCAGACACTCTTCCTAGCCAGCTGTATGTAATTTGGCCCTAATCACACATGGTCTCCTGGATTTGGGGAGGACTAAATTATATAATCTGGGGAAGGCTAAGAAGAGAATGCTTGATCCATGCTGGGCAAAGGCTTTCCAGTGTGCGTACCCCCAAGTCACTCATACACCTCAGCAACCCCTCAGTCATCTCTGTACATAAGCTCAGTAAATTCATTGGTTCCCCAGGAAAACTTTAATCAAACATTGGTCTTAAACACCCAAAAGGAAAGTATACTTCTCAGATATTAGGCTTAAGTCCATATAAAATGTTAGAAAATTATTTCTCATTGACTATTTCATTTCTAAGCAGAAAGTGCTGTAAGACTTCAAATCTTGGTCTGCAATACTGTAGTGCCCACCTGTAGCTAAGGGAGATAACCCTCTATTCTAAAATAATGGCTAAATTTGTTTTTTCCCCCTATCTAGAAGTCTTTGAGAGGGAAGGGTAGTCTTTTTTTTTAAAGTTGTCTTGAGTATATTGGTGCACACCTTTAATCCTAGCACTTGGGAAGTAGAGACAGGCAAATCTCTCTGCATTCAAGGCCAGCCTGGTCTATATATTGCGTTCCAGTCCAGCTAGGACTACAGAGAGCAGCCCCTGTCTCAAAATTTTTTTTTATTTTATGTCTACGAGTATTTTGCCTGCATGAAGTATACCACAAGCATTAAATGCCCACAGAGGCCAGAAGAGGGCATCAGATTCCATGAAACTAAAGTATGGGACAGTTGTTAGCTGCCATGTGATGCTTAAAACTAAACCCTGGTCCTCTGGAAGAGCAGCCAGTACTCCTAACCACTGAGCCAACTCTCCAACCCTAAAATGTTTTTTAAATTATATTCCCAGAGTCCAACTTCCTCTTAGTGTTAGCAAACACAGCAGCCAAGATCCGTTGTTTCTGAGTGAGGGTAAAAATTGTTGTATCAGTCTCAAGAGTGCTAGTCTGTCAGTGCCAGTGCTCTTGACTGCTGGGGAGCATAAATTCAGTTGGACAACATCCTACAAGAATTGAGTTTGGAATCATGTACATTTATACAGTAGAGAAAGCCACCTATGTTTGTTAAATCGAATGAGATAAAGTTGCTCTCTCAAAGTCTAGGAATTGGTGTGTGACAGTGGCTCCCCTGTCGCTAGTACTTTTCTCCAAAAGTACTTTCAATCTCATACTCTGCCTTTTTCTTCTTCTTTTATTTTTGTTTAGTTTTCATTTTGTTGTCGTTATTGTTTGAGACAGTATCTCCCCAGCTGCCCTGGAACCTGCTATATAGACCAGTTTGGCCTCAATCTCAGAGATTCACCTGCCTCTGCCTCCAGAGTGCTAGGCTTTGTTTTTGCATTGAGACAGTGCCTCATGTAGCACCGTGCTTGACACCAAGTTTCAGTCTGTGTGTGGTGAGAGTGTGAGAGAGAGAGAGAGAGAGAGAGACAGGGCCGCCCCTATATAGCCCAAACAGGGTGGTAATCCTCCTGCCTCAGTTGCCAAGTGCTATCATACCTAGATGGACATAATTCTATTTTTTTTTTTTTGTCCTAAGACAATTTATCTTGAAAAGCAAATGGAGAGTTGGGGATATAACTCAGTTGGTACAGTGCTAGGATGCAGGAAGTGTTGGGTTTGATCCCACCATGCATAAAGCCCAGCATGGTACACACACCTATAATCCCTGTACTCCAGAAGAGAAGGCCGAAGGATCTCCAGTTCCAGGCTGGTCTAGCTATATAGAAAAGACTTTGTATCAAAAATATATTCCTGGGCCGGGTGTGGTGGCGCACACCTTTAATCCCAGCACTCAGGAGGCAGAGGCAGGTGGATCTCTGTGAGTTCAAGGCCAGCCTGGTCTGTACAGTGAGTTCCAGGACAGCTAGGGCTACAGGGAGACCCTGTCTCAAAAAGACC